AGCCAATAATAAGAATTATATTAGTATGAATTATCAAGATAATTAAAGCTTATGAATCATTAGTCCAGCAAAATAATTTATTGCGAATTGCTGTTTGTTTTTGTTGTTTTAACAATAGTGATGTAATTTATATTTGTTTAGAACAGAGCTATTGAGTATTAAATCATCTGTCTTTGCACACTACATCCTAGCCTTTTTCTTTTCATGTCTGTAAAGGTTTGAAATTATCATTATCTTATTAGTATCGGCCATGAGAAGCAGGTAATTATCAGTTATTATATCATCTAAAAAGAAATTGTATCGTGCATCCATGATTAAAACTAAAAGATACAGTTACAGGCTGAAAAAACAGAAGAATGTTATCACAAGTTTAATATGAACACACAATTTTCAGTTTGAAAGGCTGGAAAACATGTTGCAAGTAATCTATACTAACAATGTAAGCAAATGACCTGCACCCCCACATTCTCTTACATTACACTGATAAGTCCCCATAAAATTACGCTGATATTTGGTTTTGTGAAAAGAATAGTGAGATTGTTGGGAGAAACTGTGATCATGTTGATTGAAGATGTGAAGAACACGCTGCTGATGAGGTCAGCTACAGTTACATGTTTGGCTCTGTGAGAAAAAAAAGCATACAGAAATGTTTAGCAGTCTCATAAAAGATGCTGAAGTAACATTTGCATTCACCACTGAATATTATGAAGCTCCATATGCATTAACATGCTTTGTATTACATTTAGTCTCTTTTTGGATATTTAGTCAAGTGCAAATGACTTGATACATGATGTCTGTAATTGTATACCATTTTGCTGCAGACCTGCATCAAGATCCATGCATGTTTTTTATAATCCTCTGTTAATAAAATTCAACTGTCATTATGTTAGATCATTTCTTTCTTCCTAATGTCTCTCTGCTGGCTCTATCACTTGCAGTTTTATTTTCTTGTCTCCTCATCAGTTATGAGAATGTTACAAACATTTTGACCAACTCACCCCAGGCATAGGTTTTCGTTTCAGGCCCATGAGTGACCTTGCAGCTGTACTTTTCTCCCCTTGTGGGTGTGAAGGCCACGTTCTTGGTCAGATGGAAGTGCCAATCCTGTTTAAAGGCCAGGTCAGTCTGCTTGGCATTTTGGATTTCTTCTCCATCCTTCAGCAACTGGATGTTGATGTTTGGGGGGTGGAAGCCACTCACATGGCAAATCAGGGTGTTTTCCTTCCCAAACTCTCCAGGGTCACGGCTGTACACCTGAACCTTGGGTTTAGCTAGAAGCACACAAAGCAACGTGATGGACAATTCTCTCAACCACTATCATCAAAACACCAAATGAGAGATGATGTTGAGAATAATGTTCATCCCTCCGGCTATGACAAGGAAGCTGTTATGGAGGCTGGCTGTGGAACAACTTTTTACACACTTGTTTGTGACCTAATCCCAACAAAGGTGAGGGTCCTCTTGATTAATTATTTGCCTGAACAATGGAGCAATGGAAGGAGTGCTCCACAGTCTTACCCCCTCTCACAAAACCTATGTTACGTTTTTATCATTACTTTTTCAATGAGAACTAATTTATTTCGCTGAGCATTTAGAAATTCACCCTTTGGAGTTTAGGCTCATCAGTACCACGCTAAAGCCAGTGGAGGGTGACAGCAGAGTTACTATTACAGAAAATCGAAACTAAATCCAGACTGTTGAGGGGAATTCCACCGAATTAAAAACATGACATGCATATTATATAATGTTTCTCTTTTAAATTTCACTATAACATCAACTCATACATTTGCCTTTTTAACAGATCATGAGCAGCTTATTATATACTTACTTGAGATACAGTTTATCGTAATTCTAGGGTAAAAAGGCATGGCTGAAAATAGTACTTACTTATTTTGGGGTTGTCAGAGCAGGAGACAACTGCCAGAGCTGCCAGACACAAAACAAACTTCATGTTTGATCAATTCTTCTTTTGTCGTTTCAGAAGCTCAAATGAAAAACAGGAGCGACTACCCTCTTCCTTCAAAGAGCTAAAGTAAAATGAAAGTGTAGAGTAGAGCCGAAAAATAGAGTGTTTTGAGACCGCCTCTACATGACTCCAGCCAATCATTAATTCCCATCACACTGTTACTAGGTAAAATGTGAGCATACAGGTTTGGTTCATTAGGGCAGGGAAGGTTTGTGGAAACTCCCTGAAGACCCAGGTGGTGAATCGCCTCTATTAGACTGCAGAAAGCTGCGTTTTTGAGCGTCCTTGTAATTATGCTTAGTTAATATTAAGGTAGTTAATATGACACCTAGACCTCCATGACAGAAAGGATGTATTTCACACACAGTTTAGTTTTTACTGGAGACCATTCCCAGTCCATCTGCTTTTTTGTTTTGTCTCTGCTCTTTGTAAGCTTATTTATTTGCCTTTTTTGCTTTTGTTCCTTCTTTCCATCCTCCATTTTCCTTAATTCCCTCACGTCTTCCAATCTTTCTTGCTCCATCCCCACCCTTCCTTTCTGTGTTGTGTAGCCCATTAACTATACTTTGTTGTGGTCATTTTGGTCAATAACTTGCCCCCAATGTTCATGTGTTTAGATATGTCGCAAAGTTAAGTTGTGGTGTTCTTGACACCAGTTTTGTGATAAATATGCATAGGTATATCTTTTTCAAAAAGTCTTTATATATTTTTCTGTATTTTTTTATGTGTACTTATTATTAGTTTTGCTTGTATTTGTTTTATCTCTTTGAGTATGTGTAACTGTATTCACTGTCATTTTTGTTTGTGTATGTTCTACAAATCAAAAGTGAAATAATGATTATATTGTCACAAGAATGCAGAATCTGCAGCATGAGTTACCTCCACTAAAGCCCAGTTCAGCATTCTATCCTAACTCTACTCACTGAACCCCCACTGACTTTACATGACTGAGTAAAGTAAGTGTTTGGGACCTGACCCAACTGGTCGAGGCAGAAGACCGCCCACCTAGAGCCGGGCAGTCAGGTAGCTCAGCTCAGCACAGGGAAAGCTTTCTCAATGTGTCTCATGTTTTTATGATTTTGGATTTCCCCTGCAAATCAGTCAGAATATTTCAATATGACAGTCATGTGTGCAAATGTGCATGCGTACTTACTGTAAAGGATTTAGTGTCATCTAGTGGTGAAGTTGAAGTTTGCAACACTTTTTTGATTGCAACAATTTTAATACAGCTCAGCCTTCCAAGTGTGTAGGAGAAACTAGGGTGGCTGTGAAACAAGCAAAAAATGCAAAAGACCCTATCTAGAGCCAGCGTTTGATGGACATGGGGAGAGAAAACACAAATTAGTGCCCCTTATGGTGTCCTTTCAGTGTAGAAAATGCATGTGTATGCATGCAGCTGGTGTCCCTGCCCCTCAGAGTCCCCCACTGGTTCAGGCATAATGAATATGCTTTTTTGCCTAGCTAGAAATTAGAGATATAGAGTGTGAAGGTGGATGAGCATTAGAACTAAATAAATAGAATTTAGCTTTACTTGAACTTGTATTTTACACAGGTTAAAACATTAATTCATTCAGCAACTCATTTGTCGCTTATAATTTGGCTTTGACTAATTTGACTATTTTGCTTTAGTCTATTTAGGGCATAAACTCAGTCTCAGAAAAGCCATCAGAGCACAGGTCGATTTCACATGGGGATAACCCTGATCCCTCATGGACTATGCGAAGTCCAGAGCTGAGATTAGAACTGGATTTCCAACACATTCAATGTGCCCTCTTGTTTTTAATGCAACATGATGATGTAATGGACATCAAGCTATTTTTTTAAGAACTCCCATAAACCTATGGCATTTTTTTTTTTGGCATGGCAAGCACCAATTTCTCCTCAGCCTTATTGTATTTGGAACAGTGGTGACATTTTCATTGGTTCCTTATGGTTAAGCCGTATCTCAGTCATGTGTCACTGAGTCATTCTGCTAGTAGAGCCTGTTTTTTGTTATTGTTTTTTGCAGTCCTTAAAACAAAAAGAACCGCACATTGTTTGTTTCAAAAGGAGGTTGTTTCTTTTCCATGTTATTACATTGTCACACAACATTTGATCCTGTTGAATACTCAAGAACGGTGTTGATTGTTTTTTTTTACTGTTAGCAGGGAGTAATGATAAAAGTAATAAGATTACTTTTGTATTACTTACTTTTGTATTACTTATTATTAGAAAGAGTAATGAGTAAGAAATTTGAATTAATTTACTAATCTTATTACCTTTATCATTACTCCCTGCTAACAGTAATTAGTTACACTACTAGTTATATTACTTTCTGATACTTCCCACAAAATTGGTCTTACGGCGATTAAAATCCAGTTTTGTTTGTTAAAATTAAAGTAATGTGAATATTTCCAGTTGCTGAATGTAATCTTCCAAATTGGTTTCCTCCTCGATTACAAAAAAGAAAAGTAATATTATTACTAATAATGTCTTACTGCCCAATGACCTACTGCTTAACAAAAACAAAACAAAACAAAACAAAACATTAGTCTTGAGTTTTTCAAGACTAATGTTTTGTTTTGTTTTGTTTCTATTTAGGCTAGTTGTGTCTCTATTTGTTTCCAGCAAATTTACCAATGAAGCAAGTTTATTACATTTCATTTATTTAAGTTTTGATTTTGCTTTATTTAACGAATAGTAAAAATCTTAAAACAAGCATAGCCTACATCAAAAATCTGGTAAATAAATGTGGTTATTATGGTTCCTTAATGGCCATTATTTCTATTTCTCATAAAAATATTGAGCAATATATAACAAATATTATAAACAAATTGTGTACTCATAAAACAGTTGTAAAGACTGTAAATTCGTGAATTACATTTGAGCTAATGTCTAAATGTAGGCTTATATTTTTCCCTATTGTTTTCCGTTTTAGTTTATCTATTCCTTCATCCGCATTGTCCGTTGGACATATTCAGTAAAGGTTATTGAAAAACACTACGTCAAGCCTGAGGCCGGAGCGCGATGTGAACGTAATGGCGTGATGACGATGGCGCTGCCTCCTAATCCTTAAACGCCAGTCCTTCCGTATTCTCTCGGATCCACAGCAGTAGCTACTTTTGTGTGTCTTGCTGAGAAAACGTTACAGCAGCACGATGAGTAGTGAAAAATACCCCAGATCTTCAATTGAAGACGACTTCAACTATGGCACAAATGTTGCTACAGCCAGCGTACAGATACGCATGGGTAAGTAAAGTCGTGTTTGTGTCAACAGCACCTTGCCACGTCGGTTAACGTGTGTTATTGTAGAAACATAATATCGATAACTGACTGTGGTTGTCGTAACGTTAGCTAACAGCACTGGTTGAAACATGACGTTAGCTAACGTCAAGAGTTAACGTTAAACATTAGAATGTTGTTAGCATTTATTTACAGGGACGGATCTAAAGGGGTAGCAAAGGGTGTCAGCTGTCACCCCTAAAAATAAAATGCAAATCTAACATACATTTATGTGAAAACGTACATTTAAAGGTTTCAATTTAAATGAAAAAAAAAACGTGTATTTGGAAGAATGTCTGAAGAATTGAAAATAAAACGACTGATTTTCACCTTTAGATATTTATATGTAATGCTTTACTAATGTGCCACAATAATGGAATGTTATTGAGTTTAAATATCTTTTTAAACATTTTTATGACTCATTAATCAAATTTTATTTTGTTTTTAAAAGTAGAAAAGGGAATTGTATCGAAATGTTATTCCACATTCTTGTGTTGTAAATGACAATATAATAACCTTTTATCCTTGAGCCCTTTTCAAGCAAATATTGATATATGTGATTGTTTGCAATTAAATCATCAAATATTTCTGCAAAACCCTTAACGTTGTTTTAGAATAATCGGTGTATCTATAATTTGAGACAGTCGACGACCTGCAAGAATGTTTGAAAAACACAGAAACAAATGAAAGCAGCTGTGTCAGTGTGACTGCTGTGGAATGCAGGGTTCCCACATGTCCTGGAAAACCTGGATATTAGACTTGTTTTACAGTCATAGAACCACCTGGAAATTGATTAAAATGACCAAATGACCTGGAATTGTGTTCCAGCCTCTCACTCAAATCGTCTCTGGTGAGAACAGCGGAAAGCAAGCTAGCAAATTCTGACCACCTACATGTAATGAACTTGCATAACTTCATCAAGAACCCTGCATCATTAAAAAAGGAGGAATAAAACTGAGAAAACTTGGAAATATGATGCCTACTGGTAAAATACAGTTAGGCCCAGAAATATTTGGACAATGACACAATTTTAATGATTTGGGCACTGCATGCCACCGCATTGGATTTGAAATGAAACAACTGAGATGCAATTGAAGTGCAGATTGTCAGGTTCATTTCAAGGGGTTGAACAAAAATATCCTATGAAACGTTTAGGAATTGCAACCATTTTTATACAAAGTCTTCTCATTACAGGGGCCCAAAATAATTGGACATTTTTAATACTTTGTTGAGAATCCTTTGCAGGCAATGACTCAACTTGTGTCTGTGTCCAAATATATATGGACCTAACTGTATATGACCATTTGTAAGTAAGTGCTGCTATTGTGAAGAAAACATCTAGAAAATGTCCTGAAATGGTCCTGGACCCGGACCCCTGAGAACGATGTTAGCACTCCCCTTTGTGAGTTTTGGGAAGGAGGTAAAAAAGTTAGTTTCCAGCCCTGTTGTAAACGTACTGTCACCATCGTCTTTTCTAAATGTCGACACTTTTCTTCTAAATGACAGCAAATCTAATCGAAAACCATTAATGGCTAGAGTTGTGTATATATATATATATATATATATATATATATATATATATATATTATGTCATAATAATGCAGTAGAATGACTTCTCTTCTTACACATTTTACCCCACTCTCCCTTAAATACAATGTTTCGTTTGTTTGTTCTTTTATCTACAGCATAACCCAATGTATTTTTATGTTTCAGTAAAATATAAAAAATCCACCTAAAACAACACGTTACTGGCTAAGATAACTATTGATAGATATATTATTTTATTAGATATTGGCCATTGGTCTTCCAGCTCTCTAAATATTGGCATCGGCCATTGAAAAGAATCAATATCAATACCACTAGTCTCATGCCACCCCATAAATATTTCTCTAGATCCACCCCTGTTGATATGGTTTAAACTTTAGAAACACTAAGTTACTTTGAAAAGGGTTGACAGTTACGTGATGCTTTTGGTTTGAAGAACCACCTGCACAATTTACCGTTAGCTCAGTTAAACAAGCTGCTTTTACTGGTCCAAACTCAGTATTACTGGAACATATCCAGCTGTTAATACTGGTTCACACATAAGCGACTGTTATCTCTAGATCAGATGTAACTAGCTGTTTTGGCTACTGTACTGCTGTCTTTGTTAATCAGACTTCCTGAGGAAGGTGTACACCCTCCTGAGCTTGCAGATCATTCTGACCACAGCCACCTCTGCCCTCTTCATGTTTTCTCAAACCATCAAGGAGTTTGTCCACTCCAGGTGAGGATAGTCTGATTATCATCTAACCAACATGTGAACGACTAGATGTCATTAAGATGAGAACAACATCTAAATGCAGACCTGTACCTTTAAGTCTAGTAAGTAATATTTTTTGTGATTTGGGTGAAACGAATCACAAAAAATATTAGTTACTAGACTTAAACTTAAACTTACTAAATATTCCCTTAGTTTGGCTTGTGAGAAATCTTAAAGTTGGGCTGCTACCACATAACAGTGGGGTTGAATTTTTCATGTGTGTCTCCAAAGTTACATACATACAGTTTATATGCATAGTTGTTTATTATTGTTATATTGTCCTATTTCTGCTGAAAGAATCATACACATCCTGAAGATAAACTCACTTGGCCATGTCGTCTGACTAGTCTGGTTTCTTCCTCAGTCCTGCTGTGGTCTTGGTTTCGGCTCTCGGCTCTCTGGTTCTTCTGCTGGCCCTGGCCGTGTACAGACACCAACATCCAGTCAACCTCTACCTTCTGCTCGTATTTGTAAGCCTTTGCTGTTCCACCCGGTTAACTAGTTAATTGTTTTATTAATGTAACATTTAGATTAGCTGGTGGATGAATGTAACATCTGTTGAAATGGAGCATGGTTATAAATCCTACACAGCCCTGGGGTATAATAATAGCTGGGGTATAGTGTATTTTTCCCCCTTGTCTATTTACCAGTTTGATTTTGTAATGCTAGATTACCTGGTCAGTCACCTTTACAGTAGCTGGTTATTTAATGATAGCTCCTAGCTTGTTAACATGTAACTGCTACTAATTGTGTGTTGTTTTCAGACTCTTCTGGAAGCAGTGTCTGTGGCCACAGCTTGTAAGTCATTTTGAAAGAGTATGTCAGTTAACATCCTTTGAGCCTGTTGGCAGATGGTCCTGACTGCGGTTTTTCTCTCCACAGTGACCTTCTATGAATACTCCACTGTACTGCAAGCCTTGTTCCTGACCTGTGCTGTGTTTGCTGGACTAACGACCTACACCTTCCAGTCCAAGAGAGACTTCAGCAAAATGGGAGCAGGGTGAGTGTGTCATGGTTGCTGCTTGGGCTACAGCCCCAACATGAATTCTGTTACCCCACTTTAAGGCTGATTTATATTAGTATGTAGGTTCTTTGTCGAACCTGTGGCATTCTTTGCAAAGTCAGCTACGCTGTTGTTAGCATTTATACGACACAGAATCTGAGAATGTGTGTGTATGTTTGAAGAGGGATTCTTAAACGGCTTTCTTAACTCATCTAGCTGTCACATGAGTCACTTCTAAGTGTGAACCTGTCGTGATGTCACCCCTTGGTTGTGGATTATGGCCGTCTCTATGGCGATTTGTCTGTAACGTACTGCAAGTTGAGTTGCTCTCATTGTCTGCGCAGTTTTGACTAGTTCATAGTGGGGAAACAATGGTGGCTCACCTGGTCACACACATTCTCGTATTACAGATAAACTGTATACAAAAATATGTTTTAAAATAATTTTTGGGGAGAGATAGGCAATGCAGTAACAGGATCTTGATTCATATTTGATCAGCACTGCCTGGTTTGACAGTTTGATCTGAGTTTGATGCGTTGAGCTGGATGGACTCACTGAGAAGCCCTAAAGCATACCCTGCTTTATCGTCTATTTTACTCTAACTGGGACTATAATTTACTAATTGAAAGTAGGCTCATTTCTCTATAAGACTGCATTGAATTTATCCCGCAGGGGATCAATAAAGGCACATCTTAATTTTATCATGCTTTTTGTCTTTTATTGCAGCTCCCCCCATTGGCCATTACATAGACTGCAGATTTAAGACACTTCATTATTTCATCTAGTGTTTATATGTTTTTACTTTTAAGCTGTTGCGGTGTGGGTAGACTTTTGTGCCACCCTTAAGGCTGCTATATTCCTCCTCAAGAGGGAGCCACCATCAGACTGATATCTGATCTGTTCTGTCATTACAGACTGTTCGCCTGCCTGTGGATCCTCATTATTGCAAGCTTCATGAGGGTAAGTGGAACTGCCTGACAGTGCCTGACAGTGTTAACTAGCAGACCTCCCCACTATGTCTGTGTAACAGGGTTGTCAAAATATCACATGCTACATATGTGGCCATTTATTGAAAAACTCTGATACTCAAACTTTGAAAATTTTCGACCACACATTGCTTACGTCTCTCACACAACACACAAAAGTAAGGTGAAGCCTTCAGCCCCTCTTCTGGTCTCTCTGCAGTTCTTCTTCAACAGTGACAGCACAGAGCTGGTCCTGGCTGGAGCCGGGGCTCTGGTCTTCTGTGGTTTCATCATCTATGACACCAACCTGCTGATGAAGCAGCTCTCCCCTGAGGAGCACATCCTGGCCTCCATCAACCTCTACCTGGACATCGTCAACCTCTTCCTACACATCCTGCGTGTCCTTGACTCTATGAAGAAGCACTGAAAGCTGCAGTAGCACTTCAGACTGCTTTATTCAGCTCTAACAGTGCTGTGTTTGTTTAGTGAGTGTTGCTGTCCTGAAGTTCACCAAAATTGAGATTTTAGGGAGGGAAACTGTTTTGCTTGGTAAACTGTGTTTACAGGTAGCTGTACTGTGTGCTTTTGTTTATTTACCAAACTAATTTTTGTAGCTGATGTTTTGCTTTTGTATTAAGTTAATTAGATCTATATCAAGTCAATTCTGTTTATTCTGAAACCAAGATGTACTCATTCTATTATAATCCAAATATAAAAGTACAGTACATGATTTGCTACAGAGCCTACTAGCACCCCCACCTGGCCTAATTGCAGCTCATCCTGTGTTTTTGGTCCCAGTTAGACATTTATCAGTTTTTCAGTTGCAGATCCACTTTTGGTGTTCTAGTGAGTATTTCTGGCAGGACAATGTTAGTGAGATTGAATCAAAATAAACTACAATAGAGCTCTATGACACAGAGAAATCACATATATCGGGCTTGGTTTTGATTTGTTGACAGCAAAAGTTTTCAGTATCTCTTCGGATCTATCATTCCCCTCATTGTTGAATGTTTTCAATGTGGTCAACATTTTGTAGTTTATATTTGATCTGTGTGCTTCCCTTCAAAATATCACTGCTGTCTGTAAAGCTACAGTAAGTTACTTTTATAAAAAATTACTTTTTGTCATATTGCCTTAAATTTTAACTGTGTCCTGTCTGCAAAAAAGAATCCACCGGGCCTGAACGCAAACAACAAATCAGAGCCAAGAAAGCTAGAATGATGCTTTGGGTAAGTGGCTTGAAGATAACTGAGTGTCATTCCCAGGTTGTGAAATACGCTTTGAGTCCTGGGAATGAGACTCAACAATCAACTATATTTCTCAGCTCTGATTGGTTGTTTTCAGGCTCTGGGGATTCTGGTAAAGGCCATTAGAAACACTAGGAGGAGCCAGAGGAACCAGATTTTCCCCACATTATCTGTCAAGAACTACTGTCAGGATATAGTGAAAGTTTTAAGTAAATAATACAAAAAGTTTTCTAAATAATAATTTTTAAAAAGGTTACCTACTGCAGCTTTAATGGTGCACAATAGCAAGAGGACACGCATTGAGTTTAATGAAGTTAAAGTGCATGCCTGGGTATATTCGGATCTGTGATTGTACATATTTTTATGTTGTAAATGTTATAGTGTACAGTTTTGGGGATTTAGAGCTGAAACACTAAAACGAGTAGTACTGAAGTTAGTGAAGAGTCAAATATGGGCTTTATATGTATCAGTGTATCAAGATATGGATAATATTATCAAGGGATTAACTAACTGTTCTTAAGAAATGATTTAATAAAAAGACCACATGCAATCTGTTTTATTTTCAAATAACAGTTGTACGTGTCTCAAATGATATGAAATTGACTCTTGGTTTTGCACTGGATTAACAGCAGATAGGTCTTTGTGTTGTGTTGATTAATTGCTGTTCTCTTTTTGCTCTTCAACTGCTGTAAACTGTTGTATAAAGCTACCACAATCATGTGGAAATAAAGATTGCCATAGTTTTCAGCTCAAAAATGTATAGGAGATATGTTTTTTTATTTTCCTTTTAAGATCAGTTTTTGTTTTTGTTGGAGTTATGGAATATATTTTATTTCTATTTACATTTTTTGTCACACAGGATCAGAAACAAATGCGTTTATTATCAATATTATACATTTTGTCTCACAGTCCTAAGCTTTTTTATTTTTTGCAAACCTCACAGATTTGATCCTATTCTCTAAAGGAATGTAGTCCACATACCATCAGGCTTTAAAATATCAAATACTTAAAGCTGTAGCAGGTAACTTATGAAAATAGGTTTTTGTCATATTTGCTGAAACTTTAATTCCGACAGGAACCTGATTTTTTTCACAGATTATCTGTCTCAAGCACTACTGTCTGGACACGGTGAAAGTTTCAGCAAATATGACTATAATAAGAATTATTTTTATAAGTTACCTAATGCTACTGCCTCAATAGAGCTGTAACTCTCTGTCAGCCTGACTACAGTGCTGAAAACAATCCTGTGGTTGTTCTTATTTTCTTCTATTAGTGTTGAATAACAGGCTGCTGTGGCATTACAGAGGGCCTTTCTATATGTTTAAAGACTATTTTAGCCAGATTGAATGTGGTTCTACCAGCTTGGTAGAGCATCATTTCCTTTCAAACTTCTGAGCTTTATGAAAATGACTAAATGCAGAAATACACACTGCTATGTTATTCTATTGAAAGCATCAATTTAACATTGATGTCAAGTATACAGAAAAGCCCTCTCAACAATGTTCTCCCTTTAGGTAGCTTTCAAAAAGGTTAGAACTCCTGCCCTAACTGTGATGCGAGATATCAATTCCCTTCAAGCACCAAACTTCAATAGGCTTTTCAAAATATGTCTGGATGTAAAGAACAGTGGTGCACGTATCTGGATCAGGATGAAGCAATGAAACATTTGATTGCATTACCCTCTGACATGAGATTAATAACATTGAACTGCTTCATGATGGTGATGTTTCCTACATCTGTGGAGTATGTTTCATCCTCGTGCAAATACTGGCAACATCAGTCAGTGTCATTCAGGACAATATGTAAAAAAGGAGATAGTGGCACTACTGCACAGGCGTCTACCAAGAGAAGTAACATGACAACAATGTGTTTGACTTCTTTGGTGTACAGTCCCAATTCACTTTAATATTCCTATTGCTGCTGTGGTATTTCCCCAGCAGTCCATTAAATGGAAAATCAACAGGATTAATGAATGGTAACATTTTACAAAAAAGGACACACATTTTTAAGAAGTTACAAGGCACATATGAGGAATCAGGAACTGCTAGTGAACCATTAATTAATGAGTAACTCCTAATCAAATGTTGTAGCAACTGATTGAAAGTAAGTAGTAAGAAACTAGTAATGATTAAATTGATCATTTTTATTTTATTTTTTAACACACTCAACATGACTTCCAAATAATTCAATGGGAGAATTCAACATGGGAGAGATTTAGAAAATTTTAACTTGTATATGAAATTTCTGGTTACTTATTTCACAATATATAAAATGATATCCTCGGCTTCCAACTTAATTAGTTTGATTAGGGAAATAATCCTTCCATTTCTGCAGAACACTGCTGTTTTGAATATTCATTTTAAAAAACATGTTTTATTGTGTCTTCTTCATGTATACACAAATCACATTTATTGGGGACATCTGTAAATCTTGCAATGTGGGATATATAGCTATTATGCACAAATTTGTAATGTACTTCTCGTAATTGGTTGGGAATAACAACTTGACGGTGTATGGAAAAAGTCAAGAGTGAATCTTATACAAAAATTAGTCCTACACAAACTGACCATGTGGAGTAATTTCATTTGTGCCGTAGAAATAATTACATATATGTTTATTGTAACATTTATGGTTTTGAATATCTATACCACTTACAGAGAATGACATTTCTGATTTTTGTAGGCCTAACTCTTGTTGTTCAGAGTAGTCAACTATAGAATCACAATAGGGACAGCATTGATTACCTTCTTATTTTCGTTATATGTAATAGATAGGTAAGAAATTCCTCATAACTAACAATTTGAGCGTTATTATTTATAAAAAGCCTGCAGTTGATTTTGAACGCAACCCAGCTGCCACTTGACCCTTACGTAATTTCCGCTTCACAACCTTCTCCGAGAGTTTTGTCCAAGATGGCGTCAACGCAGTTAACGGATGAGGAGCTTTTCTCCGAATTAAAGCGCTTTGGTTTCACTCCAGGCCCGGTAACCGAGAACACTCGTCCGGTATATTTGAAGAAATTGAAGAAACTTCGTGAAGATCAACAGCAGCGGGGCTCCAGAGCGGGTAAAACCCGTAGCAGCGGGGCCATCAACAGCAGCACTGGCGGCGGCAACACGGCGGGATCCAGGCCAGCCAGCCATGACGTCACGCACCTGAGCTCTAGCAGGAGACCGGGCCGGAAGTCCTCCGTCCTCGGCTTCAGCTCCGACGAGTCTGACGCCGAAACTCCATTGAAAAGAAAGGGCCTCAATCACAGTGGCAGGACGGAACGAAGCTCTAGTTTCCAACAACAATCTAAGATAAGACCAATTACAACAACGAGGGTGGCTATCAAGAGTCAGTATTGCGCTACGAGTGCGCTGAACAGCAACAATTCTTCCCCTGATCCGGACGGACAGAGAAGTGTCTCGCTGGGTTGGGGAGTTCGTGCCAGATCCAGCCCCGAGGCGGAAGGGAGGGATTACGACGAATCGGGGGACGAGGACGACTTTGAGGGGGAAACAGAGAAGAGGTCTCGCTCTTTAAATGGTTGCGGGGCGTCTCACTTCAACGCTAGCAAGCTAGCCGGGGATTACTCAGACTCTGAAGAGGAGGAGGTTGGGGGCCTTGGTCCCGGAGACCTACAACGGGATAGATTTGAGCCGAGACGGAGCCACCTGAAAACGGCGGCGTTCCCTTCCTACGGAGTCGGCCGAGGGTCTTTGACGGGAGGGGCAGCCAGAGACGTAAACCAGCCTGAGAGTATAAACATGGTGGGAAGTCGGAGGGAGGAGGGGGAGGGAGACGAGATAAAGAGAAGGGAATCGGACTCATCGGGAGGCTTGCGGAGCCACAACTTTCCTAAGAAGTCCATCTACGTGTCCCTCGCCGAGAACCATGGAGGAGAGGCCGGCAAAAACAACCACGTCGACGGGGATCACGGAGCCCCCAGAAGCAGCAGCACTAGCAGGTTCAGCATTGGGTTGAGACCGCGCTTCTCCAACTACAGCAGCTTGTCCCAGACCTACAGGGGCAACCACTCCAATCACACCGCCCCCAACCACTCATACAGCCAGGCAGTGCTGAAGCAGAAGCTGTCTGTCCCGGAGGATGAGCTACTCCAGCAGTTCAAAAGGGAAGAGGTGGCCTCCTCTGGTAGCTTCAGCGCTCACTACCTGTCCATGTTCCTGCTCACGGCAGCATGCCTCTTCTTTCTGCTGCTGGGCCTCATGTACCTTAGGATGAGGGGCTCTGGATCCTCGGAGGCTGATGGAGTCAGTAAGTAGCTCAGCTTGTGCAAGTGAAATCTGTCTCACTTAATATATCAAGATGTATCATTTCTGATTTTTAAAAAAAATCCCAATAGAGTGTAAAATACAGCTGCTACTGGCAATTTAAAGCCAGTGTTTAGTAAAATTTGATCCCTGTTTGGCACGATGGTTTGTCTTTGTTTTTTCGTTTTTTCAAACAATTTGACATCCCCTATACAGGCATTGATGGACAGTAATTGAAAGTGTGTGCTTCATGTACACAGAGCCTGAACACACCCTCATGGCAAAAAAAAACCCAGTTCTTTTCTTTTTTCAACCTTAGGAATATACACAGCGTGTTTTTGTTTTTCTGCACTAATGCCAAAAGAAAACAATTGCAACAAGCCTGTTACCATATTGTAACGGAACTGTCACTACTTCAACTAAGCAGAGCTCAGACATCCACTGTATTTATTAATTCTAGCATGCACACATACTCATCTGCTGTAAACGTTAGCCTAAATTTCCTCTGACAATTGTCTTTTGTAAATGTTAACACATTTCTGCCATCCTAAATGACAGCAAATCGAACCCAAAGCTACTACTGGCTAGCGTTTAAGGTCCAGTGTGCAACATTTCTATTGTAAGAAATGGAATATAATACATAAGTATCAGTATAACATTAGTATGAGTATATGTATCCTCACTTAAAAATAAGAATCATTTTGTGAGCCATTTTTGTCTTAAGAGGGAGCAGGTTTTCCTACACACTTTGTTGGCAGGGTGAGGCGAGTGGTATTCAGTTGGTTGCAGTCTGCAACTTCACCACTAACTCCAACACACTGGATCTTTTTTTAATATATATTAATTTGTAATGTATAGAATAATGCAGTTGAATGTTGCGTCGCCAATCATGTTCTGAAATTAATACAATTCCACCTAATGCAACATGTTACTAGCAAAGATAAACATATATATTAGATTGTAATGTAGGGCTTGGTGATACAGAAAACAATATTTTCACAATGTTTTTACATGTTGATATTTATCACTATGTAATTTCATAATACTGCCTGTTTGAAGGTATCCTGATAATGACTGAAGGCTTAACAAACCAGAGTTAAACTTATAGTTTATGTTATTCTATTTTATATGTTAATGTAAACATTAAATGGAAATAGGGCTGCCCTGGAAAAGTCTATGATTAAAACCATCAGTCAAGAAGATCCTGAGTGACTCCAGTCCCATGCATCCTGGAAACCTGGAAAATTTTGAGACTAGTTTTCCAGTCATGGAAACACTTGGAAATGAGTTAAAATGACCAAATATCCTGAAAATAAGCTCAGCTGTAATTTTGAATTGTCTTTTGTAGCCTGTTCTGTAGCCAAATTGATTTTACAGTTAAAAAGAAAACTAAGTTTGAAAAAAAAATAAATAATAATAATTAAAAAAAAACCTTAAAAGATGACCACTGATGACTGACCACTGTTTGTGAGCATGCTCTGTCCTGTATTGTCAAGAAAAAATCCAGGAAATGTCCTGGAAAGGCCCTGGAAAACTTTTTTAAATTGAGTGGTAACCCTGTCTTTGCTCTGGTGCTGACTGCTGCTACTACATGAAATCGACTAAAACATGTTTGAACCAGATGGTGATACAACCTCTTCTAATGCCATCCACTTAGTGACTCTTCCACTGACAGTGGTGGAGACACTCCATGGTGTGCTGGGATTTTATAACTGAACTCTGAGCAAGATGCAGACTGTGTGAAAAAATGATGTAGTCACCACTGACTCCAGTAAAATATATCCTAAAGTCAGTTTCAGTCCCATTTCTAGAGGACATCCACTTTAACATTCACTTTCTTCACCTGTAGCTGAAACAATGCTTTGCCATAGGAAATGGTTGTGTACTTTGACATGCAAGCCAATTGGCCATATCTGCTATGTGATAGGCTGTTACACCCCATTCAGCTGCATTCATTCAGTAGTGCGTGGCGCCACCACGATGAGACGCTATGCACTGCTCAGGCGGCCTATGTGAATGGGGTGTTAGATCTATTTATATTGAGAAAAAAATTCATTGTTATATATCATTGTTATGAACACAATTTCTATTACAATCTTTTACCAAGATCGTTTTATCCCTCAACCCTAGTGCAATGTGCATGGAATAATGGAATCGTACATGACTGAACTTTGTTTCTGTTTTGGCATTTGACATTGGCCGCACTAATCTCTAAATATCGGCATTAGCCATAGAAAAATCCACACTGGTCGACCACTAGCCTGCTTTTCCAGGCAGTTCAATAGCTAGCACTAGCTACCCAACTTATGTGAACTTATATTAAGTTACATGTAACAAACAAAGGAAAACCCAGAGCACAGGTCAGGGTCCACACTCCTGTTTTCCATCTTTTTTCATGCTGGTGCAATCACTATATTTGCTTTGTAATAGCCAAAGCCAGCTAGCCATCTTACAGGAACCTAATCCATCTCCTTCTAAAGAAATGTTGCCACAAATGTTTTTTTTCCAATCCTGATCCCAAACAGAGTTTAAATGTTTGTTTCTGATGTGTGATGCTTCTGCAGACATATTGGTAATCTGTGAACTTCCCTTTCAATAATCAGGGCTCCAGAGTACGACCAATTTGGTACTGTAGTTCCACAGAGATGCCCTGGCCTACAAATCTTGTTTGTTTGGTATAGACTGCAACAAGTGTCACATCATCACAATTTAATAGATTTTTAAAGTTCTGATGCAAAAATTATCATTCCAACTCATTGTGAATCATATCACACTTGTAACATTTTTCATATCTTTTACAATTCTGATTAGTTTTATAGATGCTAAAAAATGTTGTGCATGCACAAAATGATGTCCGTGCACACACATGCAGGTGATGTGATACACATTCAGCACCTTCTTAAGATCTAAGAGATACACACAGTTGGTTTTGGTGAGAAACTGCAAACACAGACTGTATTTGTTTACAAGAAAACATCAATTATTTTATTGCCCTAAAAACTGGATAATGAGACGCTGTTGTGCCAGATGAAATATATTCTTATTGCTAAAATCTATAAAATAACCAATCAAACTATATTTTGTTTTGCTCAAAACACAAGAAGACAGAAATTTAAGAAAAACTGAGCATGCACTTGATCCCATGCAGTTTGCTGGATCTGGACACAAAGAAAAAGAAAATGACATAGAGAGTGAGGGTAAATGGAACTCTGTTTGGATCGAGTTTTCTTCTCCGCTGGCTCCCCACAAGGATGTGTGCTTTCACCCCTGTTATTTATCCTCTACACAAATATGTGTCAAAGCAGGTGGGAAAACAGAACCATTTTATAGTATGCAGATGACTCTGTTGTTGTTAGTCGCCTCCAGGACAATGATAGCAAAAAGCAGAGCATGAGACCAGTCAACAGTGACTTAGCGAAATGCTTCTATCTTCAATTGAACATATCAAAAACAAGAAGACATGATAATTGATTTTAGAAAACATGCCCACATACAGGGAGTCACATCCATCAAGAGTCAGACAGTGGAATGTGTGCAATCGCACAAATATCTTGGCCCCAGCATTTGTTTTGTTTGAGGAAACTGTCCTATTTCCACATCGACAAAACCATGATGACCTTGTTTTTATTGTGCTTTTGTTGTGATTTTATTGAATCAGTTTTATTGTACTTTTATTGAATCAGTTTTATCTTTTTCTTTTGTGTCATTGTTTAGAAACCTTTTCTTTAAGAACAGAAACTCCCTTAATCAGATTGTTTAATGGTGTAGTAGGCTGCTTGGTGAGTCACAGCTTAACCCAAAATCCCTGTACAGCAGGGTACAGTGGATAACCAGCTCAATTTTAAAGGTTTGTATTATGGTTGTCTATTTTCTGAGTTGTTGCCCTGTCTTTTACTGCAAACCAACTCTACCTTTGGGTACAAATAAAGTAACCTTGAACTTTGGTTATAGTAAGCATGCTGTTGTTTCTGTCTTCTAACTGTATCTCTTTGTTCTTTGTTGCAGTTAAGATCCACCCTTTTGGCAGCGAGTTTGACTCTTCTTATGTAAGTAGTCCCCCTATTTTAGTACTGAGTACACCAAAGTTGTGGAGGAAAGTCATGTGTGCAAACATACTTGGGTGTTTAAAATGATACAATCTCTGTTATTTATACTTTCGATGGTATTGAAAGTACTTAATATGTAGGGGGCAAAAACAGATGTACAATCAGACCACCGGCATTTGCGATTTACTAACATGTGGACAATCTCTTCCTCGCTCTGCCTCTCCAGGGCTGTGTACTGACAATCACACATAGAGGTACAGCTCCAAAAATTTGAATATTGTGAAAAAGTTCAATATTTTTTGTCAGTCATTTCAGAAAGTGAAACTTGTATATTATATAGATTCATTACACATAGAGTGAACTATTTCAAGCCTGTATTTCTTGTAATTTTGATGATTATGGCTTACAGATAATGAAAACCCAAAACTCAGTGGCTCGTAAAATTCGAATATTGTTAAAAAGTTAAATATTGTCGCACCCTAAACAGCTAATTAACTCAAAATACCTGCAAAGGTTTCCTGAGCCTTTAAATTGTCTCTCAGTCTGTGTCAGTAGGCTACACAATCATGGGGAAGACTGCTGACTTGACAGATGTCCAGAAGACAGTCATTGACACCCTCCATAAGGAGGAAAAGCCACAAAAGGTCATTGCTAAAGAAGCTGGTTGTTCAGAGTGCTGTATCCAAGCATATTCATAGAAAGTTAAGTGGAAGGTAAAAGTGTGGTAGGAAAAGGTGCACCAGCAACAGGGATAACCGCAGCCTTGAGAGGACTGTCAAGCAAAATCCATTCAAGAATTTGAAAGAGCTTCACAAGGAGTAGACTGAGGCTGGAGTCAAGCCACTCCTGAACCAGAGACCGCGTCAGAAGTGTCTTACCTGGGCTGAGGAGAAAAAGAACTGGACTATTGCTCAGTGGTCCAATTTCCTCTTTTCAGATGAAAGTAAATTTTGCATGTCATTTGTAAATCAAGATCCAGAGTCTGGAGGAAGAGTAGAGAGGCACAGAATCCACGTTGCTTGAAGTCCAGTGTGAAGTTTCGACAGTCAGTGATGATTTGGGGTGCCATTGTCATGTTTTCTGAAGTCCACAGTCAACGTAGCGATCCACCAGGAAATCTTAGAGCACTTCATGCTTCCTTCTGCTGACAAGCTTTATGGAGATGCTGATTTCATTTTCCAGCAGGACTTGGCACCTGCCCACACTGCCAAAGGTACAAAAAGCTGGTTCAATGACCATGGTGTTACTGTGCTTGACTGGCCAGCAAACTCGCCTGACCTGAACCCCATGGAGAATCTATGGGCTATTGTCAAGAGGAAGATGAGAGACACCAGACCCAACAATGCAGATGACCTGAAGGCTGCTATCAAAGCAACATGGGCATCCATTACACCTCAGCAGTGCCACAGGCTGCTCACCTCCATGCCACGCCACATTGTAATTCATGCAAAAGGACGCCCAACCAAGTATTGAGTGCATAGAAATGAACATACTTTTCAGAAGCCTGACATTTGTGATTAAAATATCCTTTTTTTATTGATCTTATGTAATAAAAAAGACACTGAGTTTTGGGTTTTCATTATCTGTAAGCCATAATCATAAAATTGCAAGAAATACAGGCTTAAATTATTTCACTCTGTGTAATGAATCTATGTAATATATGAGTTTCACTTTTCACTCTGAAATGATTGACAAAAAATATTGAACTTTTTCATGATATTCAAATTTTTTGAGCTGTACCTGTACTCTGCTGCAGAGATGAACAGAGAAAGAGGCGCTCTGGTATCAGGGCTGTGCGATATGGCCAAAATTTCATGTCCCAATAATGAAACGTATCACAATACATTTTCTGTAAATTCAATCAAAATTAAAGCTGCAAGCAGCGTTGGGCGGGACCTCGCACCCGGGCGCTCGTCGGGGCACGCCGCAAACGCGTCACGTGCGGTAGGGGTTCGCCGAGGCCCCGCCACGTGCCGTCGTAACAAGCGCGGACGGCAACGCGAATACGTCACGTAAAACTGCTCCAAATCAGCTCCGTATCGCCACGCAGCGCTTCCTTCCTGTTGCCAGTATGCTGTGCTTTCACTTTATCTGAATCTTGTCACGTAGACAAGTTCATGGCGGGACAGTAATACGTAGGCTGATGTTATGAGGACGCGTTCAGGGCGAGACTGTTACAGAATATATGAAGTTTATTGGAAATTGGACATTGCACACTGAAGTTACGAGTACCGTTTCATGGAAAATGGTCTGAATTCGACAAGGGGTCAGTGGCACGCGGTTTGACGTACAGTCACAAATAGCTCAATTCTTCATGTACACTTTGTTTTTATAAGACTGTCCAATTATAGCGGTTTCCCACTATGCTCCACGAACAATACTCCCTAGGAAATATGGTTTGTAGATGTGGCTAGTGGGAGTGGAGGGGTGTTTGTGTTTCATCACTTTGAAAAAAAAGACCACAGAATTCAAAATGTCCAACTTTGACGAGACACCTGGGACACGCCCTTCAACGTACAGTCATAAATAGCACAACTTGTAATCAGCAAGATTATTCAAGAGTACTGTCAAGTTTTGAAGCAGATCTGATCAATTCTCAAGGAGTTTGTTTGTTCAAATACAGGACCACGGGCTTCAAAATGGCCAACTTTGACGGCAGGCCACGGACACGCCCTTCAACGTACAGTCACAAAATGAAATGCGTTCATTCAGCACCATGTTGTGACTGTACTGCCCAATTTTGAAGAAGATCCGTTAGAACGTGTAGGAGCAGATCATTCAAATAGAAGCCCTGAAAGGCCAAAATGACATCACAGTGTGACATTTGTTCAAAATGGCCAACTTTGAGGGCACACCACAGACACGCCCTTCAACGTACAGTCACAAAATATAATGCGTTCATTCAGCACCATGTTGTGACTGGACTGCCCAATTTTGAAGAAGATCCGATAGAAGCTGTAGGTGGGCATCATTCAAATAGAAGCCCTGAAATGCAAAAATGACATCACAGTGTGACATTTGTTCTAAATGGCCAACTTTGAGGGCACGCCACGGACACGCCCTTCAACGTACAGTCACCAAATATAATGCGTTCATTCAGCACCATGTTTTGACTGTACTGACCAATTTTGAAGCAGATCCGATAAATTCCCTAGGATCAGTTAGTTCACAAAGAAGCCCAAAAGGTCAAAATGACCACAAAATGGCCGCCAAAAGTGCAAATTTTAAATGAAAATAGCCGACTTCCTGTGGGATTTGAGGTATGGGTCCAAGAGGCTTTTTTGTACGCCCCGGCACATTATACATGCCTATTGAGTTTCGTACATGTCGGTAAAACGTGGCGCCGGGGCTGATGTATTTTTATTCTGTAGGGGGCGCTACAAGCACGAGAAACCCGATTTTTGGTATGTTAGCTTCAGGCACCACTCTACACGTGCTCTGTGAATTTCATATTCATAACTATGACAGTATCCGCACAGTGATTTACCCTGCCACCAGAGTGCCACCTAGTGGCGTGATTTTTTTCCTTTTTAGGGGAAGCCTCAGGGAGCCATGGGGAAGCAGCGTACCAAGTTTCATCTTAATCACACATACCATTGTAGAGCTATAAACTCCTTCATTTTAAAGAGCGCCACCTTGTGGTGATGACCTGAAATTGTGCACGATGCCTAAGGAAGACATGGGGAACTATGGACCCAAGGTTGGTGTAAATCAGACATACCAACGTGGAGAAATACCCCACTTCCTTTTTTGACGAAAAATCAACAGGAAGTGCTAATTTTATAACTTCCTTATTTTTTAAAATATCAAAATTCTTCAAATTACTTTTGTTGTCAGGACGGTCCACAGATGCTATGTGCAAAATTTCGTGCGAATCGGACAAAGTGTGTAGGATGAACACCAAAAAGTGATTTATGGACATTTTGCGCTCTAGAAAAAAAAAAAATCTAGGCGGAAGTGGGCGTGGCCTATATGGGGAGGTTCAGCTCCATTTACCGAACGCGTGGATATAAGGTTTTTGAATGTGAGACAAACTATGCGGGAGTTATTAGCCTTTCAAAATCGGCCGAAACAGCGCCACCTAGTGGCCTACCTACTGGCTGATCTGCATGTGACGCATGGAATCTCTAAGTTTAATGAGGCTTGACAAATCTGCCAAATAAAATTGAGAGTTCGTCAATGCACGGGGCTGGAAAACGCAGTTGAAGTTTACTAGAAATAATAATAATAAACATAGGAAAAACAATATGGACCTTCCAGTTCATACTGGCTCGGTCCCTAAAAATAGTTCATATGAAATGACCACATGGAAATCTTATTACATTTTGTATTGTATACTCAACAAATTAAATGTACTCTCTGACTCATATTTAGTTATTTTTCTCCTTTTACTTTTCTTTCCCTTGTGCAAATTTTCAATGAAGCATTGTACCAAAAATACTGTCTTTACACATGCTCTATATGTGTTCAGTTGCAGGTTGTTAATTTAAAAAGAAAAAGTATTTTGAGTACCTTTTGTGGACTCTTTTCCTTTTTGCCATGTAATCGAAAGATGTATCAAGTATTGTTTTTTTTATACAACCTTAACTCAAACACTAATTATCATTAACAAAGAGCATGGAAAACAGTCAGGTAGCAGCTTCTTATTTTTAGCTGTCACTGGCTGTCACTTTCACCAAATGACAACTGTTGCTGGTGGAAGATCATATCAGTTCAGCTAACCAATGTTAATTCTGGGAGTAAGTTGATAACGGGCCATAAACTTGTCTGTTGGTGTCTGCACTGCATCATTTGTAATGGAAGCTCCACTCTTTATAACACCGCTGTGAATGTGTCTGCAGTTCCAACCAATCCAATAGTGATTGTCTTCTCCACGGCGGTTTCAGGAGTTACATTCTTCCAGTTGAACTTCCATTCATATCTAGTTAAATCTAGAATTTAAACCTACCCAACGTAATGTTTCTGAACTAAGATTAAGTGTGTGGATCTAGAAGCTTGTAAAAAAACACATTAGATTTCGTTATGGGATAGGAATTGATAAGATTTCATTGTTACCAATACCATTATTGATGCTCACTGGTCCAAGTCTTTGTTACTGATTCATGAATTTTCTGTGTGGGGAAAAAAGTAGGCTTACACAGTTATTCAACATCAATGCAAATGTTTTTGAGTCTGAACACAGTGTAGAAAAAGAGTAGAGTTATAGTAGTTTGAATTTCTTTGTGAAATTAAGCCACATTTTGAACTCTTTGCCATGACTCCTTTTTTGTTGCAAGTTGTCAGCAGCATCAATGCATTTGTTTGATAAAATTGTTTTGCAACTGTCAGAAAAACATCCTGCCACTGATAAAAGGAGTTGATAGGCTTGGTGACATACAATCCTAATGGACTGAACAATGTGGAACTAGTTCTCGACTGAAACTGGTTCTCTATTCCCTTCGTAAAGGAGTGATTGTTATCAATCAGTTTTGAATCAATCAAATTGCCAACAGAGCATTAACTAATAATATAAATGCAGTCCTGAGTGTGTCCATTGTATTCACCTCCTGCAGGACCAGATGGAGAAGGACCTGATTCTAAAGCTGCTGCTCAATCTACACCACCACCTGGCCTACATAGCTGGTAGCTATTAACTCTCTAAACTGCACTCTGTGGCCACTGATTCACTGAGTCACTGAAGGAGTTTGCGTTACACATTCTCACTCTTTTGAGCAGTGAGTCTTTCTCTCTTCATTGACTATGTTCACAACTCTAAACTAAACACTAAACAACCTATTGCCTCTTTGTTAAGCTACTCTTACATTTGATCATAGAATCGGTATGCATTCAGATGAAACTGCCTATCAAGCCACGGGGGAGGCAGTTTAAAGGTACATTAGGTCGGGGCTAGAAAATAGTGTCACCTGTCATAGGGCCCAGTAGATTTATGACGACACAACCTGACACCCACTGAAGAGCCCAATGATAGGTCAGACATCCTTTAACAACCAAAGCAACATGGACCAAATGTTTGGCACACTTCACGGTTTATTAAAAACCAATAGCACACACAACTCTGACATTAAGACTTCTACATTTTTCACTTTATATACTGGAATATGGGTACTACTCAGTAGATAAAAAGGATGTGAAGACTCATTGTGTTGTTACAAGGAGTTAGCAGAGGTGTGCTCTCTTTTATCAGTAATGGTTTGATATGGTGATTGCAGGCCAGCATGACTGTGGAGACCAGCAGCATCCAAACAGGAGTCTGTCCATGGACGAAGCCTCTGCGTACTTATTGGTAAAGCCCAATATTCTTGCCTGTTCAACAAATCATTGTTGTATTTTTCCAACAAACAGATATTTCACACACAAGTTTTGTGGCTCACAGTGACCATGAAATTCTTCAAATTTGCATATCATACAAGGTAACCTGCAGGGTTCCTACACAGTATATTTAGTCATTTCCAGGTCTGGATAAGCATAGAAAAGAGAAGAGTACGGAAAAATATTTGTTTCCACACTATTGCACATATGTTTTCTGTAATATAAAATTCAGAATTTCTAAAATCCACTGATCACCCATAACATTATGACCACCTGGCTAATATTGTGTAGGTCCCCCTTTTGCCGCCAAAACAGCCAGGGCCCATTGAGTCATGGACTCACTAGACCTCTGACGATGTGCTGCGATATCTGGCACCAACACGTTAGTAGCAGATCCTTTAAGTCGTAGATGCAGGATTTTAGAATGTAGAAGAGCTCACTTCTACATTTTAAAGTCCTGTCTCGACAACAGTCTGGATATCACATCCTACTGCATTCAGATACAAAGTAAACTTCTCACTTAATCACTGCTTTGGACAATTGTATCCTTTCCTGTTTTTTTTTTTTTTTAGAGTTTAAAAAGACAAACAGGCTTTAAACAACTCTCTTGTACATGCAGGAACTTTATCCACTTTAGAGGAAGACAAGACTAAAAGTCTGTTAAAGTAAAGGATTACTGAAAAGCATAGTTCATAAAGCAGCACCCCTAGGAGTAGGAACTCTTTGAAGCTTGACATTAAGCGCTGTAGTGAAAACTGCTGTTGTTGTCATCAGTACTGTGTGTTTTTTGTTCAGGCTCAGAATCCGGAGTTTAAAAACTTCATTCTTACTTCCCTGGAGTGGATCATCCGGACAGGACAGGATGTTGGGATACGGTAATACACCATATACATATTAATGCTGATCATGAGCCTTGCATGTCACATCTGTATTCAGTGTGTGTGTGTGTGTGTGTGTGTGTGTGTGTGTGTGTGTGCGTGTGCGCGTGCGTGCAGGCTGACCGGGCAGATAGCTGATGATCCGGTGACTGATGTGTCCGAGATATCTCATCTTGAATCCACACATCCAAAGATGCCCTTCACATGCCGCTTCCGCCGAGCCTTCCTCACCGTCATCAGCAGAGTCTTCCTCATCGCAGTTGGTGAGACCACATAAACAACAACAAGCCTGAATCATGGAGTGTAGCTTGTAGCTATATTCTCAGTTAACAGACCTAAAGAGCATTAAACCCCCAAATGAGTTGTATATCAACCTTGTGCATTGGGATTTGGAAAGATTACTATGTTCCCGCCCTTACATACTAGACAACAAGCATTGTCTGCATCCACTCTAGTTGATACACTGCATGCAGCACCACGCTGCCACCTGGTGGAGATACAAAATAGTCAAACTATTGGGACCACTGTATCATTTTAATAGGCTACTACTATAACAAAACAATAAACAATCAGTATTGGTCAATATGAACCCATACTCTTCAACTAAAATCAATCCAGCAGTCTACAGTTTGTGTAATGATCTGTGTTTCACCCGTGCTTATGTGTGTAACGGTGACCTGAAGCAGACCTTGTGCAAGTCTGTCTGTTTTCTGCTGTTTCCATGCTACAGTGATTGTGTATTGGTCTCTGAGTGCTGCCAAAACGTACACGGTAAACGGACCTGTATTGTATAGCGCCTTTCTAGTCCTTCTAGTGTCTTCCGAACACTCAAAGCGCTTTTACACTACATGCCATATTCACCCTTTCACACACATTCACTCAGCGATGGCAAAGTCCATCGAACAGAAATTAACACATTCATACACATTCACACACCGATGCACAGGAAGCAATTTGGGGTTCAGTATCTTGCTCTAGGATACTTCAACATGTGACAGGAGGAGCCGGGGATCGAACCAACAACCTTTCGATTAGGGGAAGGCTCTGCCTCTGCACCACAGCCGCCCTGTGTACACCTGCACATTGAGTATTGAGTGTAGTCTGTACTCAATACTGTACCTGACTATATCTTGTGCCGATACAGAGACCAAAGCTGCTGCTCTGCAGCTTTCACTACAGAGGCTATGTACACCTCATGTAGAACATATATCAAACAGTGATATGAACAGCACAATAGGATGTATAATATATTAATATAGACACTATCAAATAAAATTTACAATAATATTAGAAATGAACTAACCAAGGAATGACCAGTGACCAGACAAGTAAGTTGAGCTGCACTGTAAAGCACTAATTATAAAGAGGCACAGTGCCCATGTGGGTTTCTACTTTAGACCAAGGCACTGGTTCAGATCTAGAGTTTGTCTGCGGGCGAGGAACAGTGGGTGCTCACTGCTCTATTACTTAGGAAAGGTTAAAGGCAGAGGGCATGCTCCTTACTTGTTGTACTGTGTATGATTGTGTATAGGGTCGCTCTATTAATCTAAATATTATCAAAATCACAAATTGCAGAAGCTGCAGTTTTTTTGATAAAGGTCCAATGTGTGACAAACAGCGTTATAAAGGTCTACAAATCTGTTTGTTTGTTACAGACCCCAACAAATGTCACAAAATCATGATTTTAAGAATTTCTTCAGTGAATATTACATTTAGGGTACAAAAATTATCACTCCTACACTAATCACGAATCATATCACGGTCACAATATCTGTCAGTAATTGCAACATGGTGTTTTTACCATATCATACAGCCCTAGTTGTATATGCAGTGTTTCCTCTATGCTGATTTTGCTGTGTTCGGACGGGCCTGCCCCCACTGCTAAAAAAATCCTAGAAGAAACACTGTATATGTGACAATAAAGTTGATTTTGTTCTATTCTGATTCTATGATAAACTATCCATCGATGTTCTAAACAATTTGTTCTGATCGTGGTAGCTGGGTTGAATCCATTGGGAAAGAAATTAGCTGCAACAGTAGACAGGCCATAAGTAACAGTCGATAGTGACAGTGGAAACAGTAGTGGGACATGTTTATTTCAAGAAACAGAGAATTCTTGATAATTCTACTAGGACGCACCAAAGCCAGAAATGTCCAAAGGGTGTTTAGTCAATTTGTTTGCTTTATATAGAAAAATCATAATCATTTACACACTTCTTAATTAAGAGGGTTAGAATTAGCATTAGTATTCATGTTTTATCATATTTTCAGTAGTTGTATTTGAACCTGTGAATCCTGTGTGTGTGCAGTGGTCGGCTGTGTGTGGAGTGGGGTCTGCTACATGAAGTATCGCTGGAGGAGAGAGGAAGAGGAGATCAGGCAGATGTATGACCTGGTGGAGAGGATTATTGGTAAGGAAAACCACCCCTGACTGTCAAGCAAGTATGATCAAGGGCCTGTTTAGACCTTGTATATGTGATATACCGATCAGCCATAACATTATGACCACTGACTGGTGAAGTGAATAACACTGATTATCTTGTTATTATTGCACCTGTCAGTGGGTGGGATATATTAGGACATTTCGCCTCAAGTTGATGTTTTAGAAGCAGGAAAAATGGCCAGCGTAAGGCTTTGAGCAACTTTGACAAGGGCCAAAATGTGATGCCTGGATGACTGGGTCAGAGCATCTCCAAAACTGCAGCTCTCGTGGGGTGTTCCCGGTCTGCAGTGGTCAGTACCTATCAAAAGTGGTCCAAGGAAGGAAAAAAGGCAAAAACAAAGGCTGGCCCGTGCGGTCTGATCCAACAGACGAGTTACTGTAACTGAAATTGCTGAAAAGAAATAATGCTGGATCTGATAGCAAGGTGTCAGAACACACAGTGCATCACAGTTTGTTACGTATAGGGCTGTGTAACATTATGACCACCAGGGTGCCCAGGTGGTTACTACTCATGATGAAGTGGTAATAACTACTCATGATAAATTAATAACCTGAAGTACTAATACATACAGACATTAAACCCCAATGTTTAAGTATGCAGTTATGTATATGTAAGTCATATTGTGAAATCTATATACTGCCTATCATAACATGCACATGATGTTGGTTGTGTCCCTTGAAGTCATGTAGTCACTTAGTGTAGTCACGCAGGTCTTTCTCGCTGTGCTCATGCTTTAGTCCCTCACTGTGTTGTGTTTCAGATGTGTTGAGGAGCCACAGTGAGGCTTGCCAAGACAACCAGGATCTGCAGCCCTACTTGCCCATTCCCCACGTCAGAGACTCCCTGGTCCAGCCTCAGGACCGGTCAGTACCAACACTGCCACAGCTCGTGTGCTATATCTAGGAAATACATTTATTATTACACAAAAGAGGGTTGTATAACATTTTTGCAATAAGTTTGTGGCTGCATTCATGTTGAAGGTGTTGCAGAAATGGGTTAGGGTTAGGAACTCCAGGAACTGTGCATCTATTGATCTATTGTGGAAGATATGTCAGTAATTCTAGTCAATTTAAGTAGTGTTTTTTTACAAAGCGGCAAAATATAACAGAGGTGATCTCAGGACACTTTCCATATCGAGCAGGTCTAGAACATACTTTTTATAATAAAGTTCCGATTTTACAGGAAGAAAATGAAGAAGATTTGGGAGCGGGCTGAGAGCTTCCTCTCAGCCAACGAGTCTAGGATTCGAACAGAGACTCAGAGGATTGGAGGAGCGGACTTCCTGGTCTGGAGGTGGATCCAGCCTTCTCTCAGTTGTGACAAGACCTTGATGCCCTCCAAAGTCTGGCAGGGAAAAGGTAGCACACAAAACTTTTCTAGAGCATTTCACTCAAACCGTAACAATTTGTGTGTTGCCATGGATCTATTTCTGGTAATGTAATGGGTGTATGGAGCTTGAATAGTGACTTTATTTTCAACTTCAACCTGATGATAGGGACTACAGTACTATGTTTTTTTTATGTTTTTTGTTTGCCCTGGGTTTGGCTTTTGCTCTGCTAATATAAGCTACATAAAAAAATGGAAAATATTTTCTCCATAAAACTTGAGCCAGTTTCACCCAAATCACTCATACAGTTGTTTTTTTATGAGTGATAGTTGTGTTTTTGTACAAGCGATAAAGTTGTGTTTTTGTACAGTAATCAGTGAGGCGCGGCCCCCAGAGACTGCAGAATGCCATGCTATTGCTAGCTAACTAATGAATCTTAGCTCAGTGTGGATTTTTTTTATGCTCTCCTTTTGTAAGTGGTTTTCAGTTTAAAGTTTATGTCTGTTTTGGCATGGAGAGGGAGGAGTCTGAGGTGAAGGGGCAAGGAGAGCATGATTTGGATATTATCTGCATACAAAGGAGAAAACATTACACTCATCACACAGTTTCTCATCAGCTTAGGTCCATGTACCTTGTAGTTGACAGTAAGGCTGCTCAATTAATCGAAATTTGATCATGATTACGATTTTGGGGCCAAACGATCTCAAAACTAATAAAATCTGAGGGAAACGATTTTTTTTTTCATTTTCCGTTGTGCAACGTTGTATAGAAAAAAGCTGAGCCCCTGAATTGGGACACAGCCAGTCTGCGTATTTCACGCATGCGTATTTTCCGTCCCTCCCCCGCAGCAAGCACTGCACGTCATGCGCTCGGTGTACTTGCCGTTCCCGACCTGTCGCGCGACAATGTGAAGTCACGGGAGCGCCGTAACTATTTATACTTGCGCCGGTGGTCGCGACACTAGTTGCCGTCTTCTCCTGTCACGTTGTTTTCGTTTGAACAGGTAACCGGAGACTTACAAATGTTTATGGGGAAAGGCAAGTGTAACTGAGGACTTCCTTGCAAAGTGTTTTTGACAAATGTCCAATAAATGCCGCATGTTTCTGAAGTTTAAAAAAATAATCGTTTGAATAATCGTGATTTCAATTTTGACCCAAATAATCGTGATTATGATTTTTTCCATAATCGAGCAGCCCTAGTTGACAGTCCCTGGTTATTGGTCGCCTTGCAGTGTGAACGGAAACAAAGCAAACTTAACTTGTTCAACGTTGGTCAGATCCAAGAAAACATACTCCCTGAAACATCTGTGTGTTCTGACATAATCACCAGTTCATTGAGAGTTTGTATCTCCTCTTCAGCTTTCCCTTTAGACCGGAGGAATTCACCCCCCAACAGCCTGACTCCATGTCTGAAGATCAGAAACATGTTTGACCCAGTCATGTGAGTACATCTCTCGACTGCTTGTTGGATGCACTGTCAGAGGAAATGAAGTTTAGTCTTTCCCCCCATTGAATTTTCTAATTGTAACTTATTTGTGTTTTCAGGGAGGTTGGGGAGAACTGGGATCTAGCCATTCATGAAGCCATCCTGGAGAAGTGCAATGACAATGATGGCATTGTCCACATCGCCGTTGACAAGAACTCACGAGAGGTATGCTCTGTCGACCGAGTGATGAGCACACTTTGATGTCACACGTCCATGCTGTTATCTGCAGTGATGTTACATTATGCTTCATGCTCTTTCCACAGGGCTGTGTCTATGTGAAGTGTCTCTCTGCAGAGCACTCAGGGAAAGCCTTCAAGGCACTTCATGGCTCCTGGTTTGATGGTAAATTACACACTTACATTTTGAGCACATCAAGGGACTTTGTTTATGTGGATGTGTTGTTACAGGTTCAAGTGAGAATCATCTTCTCACCTGTAACTGTAGAAACACACCCCCATAAACATAGTCCAGGAAGTTCATTTAAAATAATTCATCTATGTCTTTTGAAGGCTGATAAGTGACAAAACACTGAACATCAGTTTATAATACTGTTGATACAGGCGGATTAGGGCTGAAAAGCATTAGTTATTTTAAGTCTCCCAGTCACATGCGTGCACAACTGTGGAGAGGGGGATCCATTCCGTACGGATCAACGTCGTTCCCTTAAGCCACCGCAAATATTGCAGCGAGTGTTGTCTGTGTCGACTTGAACAAACTGCATGGATGACATAGTCTTGCTCTCTCTCTTTCTCTCCATAACTTACTCTCTCACCCAGATGCGGCCTTGGGTATTGAAATTTGCCACCAAAGATACGGTATTGGGCAATTTAGACAGGACACTTAAAAGTACAGAGTAAGGTACCCAATGCTATACATGGTAATGGTAAATGGACCTGTACTTGTATAGCGCCTTTCTAGTCTTCGGACCACTCAAAGCGCTTTTACACTACGTGCCACATTCACCCTTTCACATACATTCACACAGCGATGGCAAAGTCCATCAAACAGAAACTAACTCATTCATACACATTCAAACACCGATGCTGTGCATCAGGAGCAATTTGGGGTTCAGTATCTTGCTCAAGGATAGTTCGACACGTGGCAGGAGCAGCCGGGGATCGAACCAACAACTTTCAGATTAGGGGATGACCCACTCTGCCTCTGAGCCACAGCCACCCGCACACAACCTGATATTTATCTATCTGCATTAATCATAGCCTTCCAAACAACAACTAACCTGCCGTTAATATGAACACACAGACTGAACTATTTCACACCTTAAACCAGATGATTTTTTCCCCCCTTCCTCTGCGCAAAAAACATCCACAGTATTAAACTCAAAGGCCGATTACTTTTCCTTGAAACATTTTCTTGGTTCTTCATATGTCCTGATGGGAAAAAATCTGTTCTGACTGACCAAACTGGATAGTGGGGGGGAAGCCTGTTGTCATAGAGTGAAATACAATAAATGATACAAACAGGGATAACAAGTTAACACTTTCAGACGGTCTGTCCTTCATGTAACAGAAGTCGTTACATAAAGAAGAAAAAGAAAGCTTTTGCATACAGCAGGTCCAAGGTCTTATTGTCTCTGGTGGTGCATGTGACAAACTGGTGGAAGGTTGGGAGTGTGGACGACAGAGAAACATGGTTGAAGTCCCCTGTGATGATGATGAAGGCCTCCCGGTGTTTCGTTGGTAGTCCTGCAGTCACCGTGTGGATGACGTCACACGCTGCTTCTGCTTTCCCAGACGGCTCAAACCATCTGGAAGCCGGGAATGGTGACGTTGGAGTCAAGTATCTGCTCGTGTAGCCACGTTTGTTTGACGGCAGGGATGTAGGGTTTAAACCACCTCTTCCGTTTAACCCCCGCTCTGCAGCCTCGCCGTCTCCTCTTCAGCTCCTCCGGTATGGAGGGTCTCTCTCCAGTCAGGATGCTAGGGTGCCTCAGGGCGATCATCTGGTCGCGGGTGTAAACAATGAGACTCCCTGTCGCCATGGAGACCCGTGCAAACAAAAAATAAAAAAGTGCTCAAAAACGCCAAAAAAATATTTAGGCGACGTGAACAAAGTAGTAAAAAAGTTAGAAAACAGTTAAAAATAGAAAAAAACACAGGCTGAAAACACACTAAAACTACAACAATGATAGGAGCTGCCATGACTGTCTGCCGTTGTCGCCGGCGCCATTCCAAGAGCAGAGATGCTACAGAGACATTTAGTGCAATGAAATAAATCAACCTTCAGCTGCTCTTCATCAATCACCATTTTCATCACTGAGGGGAAAAAGCAGTACAAGGTCATGTTTTGTTCCAAAACAAAAGTGTGATGACTGTCAGCATCCTGCGTGTTGCTTTTGACTCACTGGTTGAGATTGTTGATGATTATTTCCCTGAAGGGAATTGTAAACTATGTTCTTAGCTCTATGTATTAAAAAACATTGTAGTGATTGGTCACTGACAGGCTCCTGCTTTTGGTTTGACAGGTAAGCTGGTGACAGTGAAGTATCTGCGTTTGGACCGATACCACCAGCGCTTCCCACAGGCCCAGGGCTGCAGCACACCCCTCAAAGCCTCCAGCCTCCGCCTAAGCACCATGAACACTACGCCCCGCATGCAAGTGCGGGGCTCAGCCAACTGTTCAGGCTTCTCATGAGATCAGCATTAGCATTAGATTTAGCATTCTCCTCTGTTCCCTCCCAGAATGACAGCGCCAGTCTGCTGCTGCTCCTTCACTGCTTTATAACAGGGAAGACTTGAGTCTGTCACGGGAGAGCTTTTTTCTTTCTTTTTCTTTTTTAACACAGGATCTTTGCAAGAGAAGCTGTTCAGTGGTGCAGTTTGTTTTCTATAATCTTTGTATTAGAAATGTCATTGATTTAACATGGAAGCAAATTCTTCTGGATTATTTAAGGTGTGTGCAGAGACTCTAACCTCCTTCCTTTCTCTTCCAACTGATGCTATGATGGAGTTAATTTGGGCACTGTATGGAAATGGCTGCATGTATCAGAGTATGCTTCTATGTAAGCTTTCAATACAACACAGTGTGGGTGTTAATTTCCTGAAGATTTTCAGTGTTGTTGTTGCTCTTCTTCTACTTATAATTGTTGTTGTTGTTATTATTATTATTATTATTATTATTATTATTATTATTATTATTTAGTCAAGAGAGGGAGGCATGAACAGACGTGTAGAGGGTATGCTGTAAATACATGTGAATGGTGGCACAAGCTTTTTTACATTCTTTGTATTAAAAGCAAACCATAAGCTCACATTTTTCTTGCTGCTCACTTACCACAGCAGAGTACATCTGTAACCGGAGGCAACCACTCCCTGAGACGCTGCAACAGCAGCAATGCACACAGAACAGTTCAGCTGATGAAACAAGGCGACAGGATGTGTGTTGTTTGCGCCGTGTATTCCATGTATGGCCTTTTCTTTCCCTTTGTCCTGGATTTTGTTATAGCATCCATCAGTGCTCTCAACTTTTGAGTGATATAACAGAATCCAGGAGTGTACCTTTACAGTCAACTGAAGCTTCTCCAGATATAACCCAGTATATTCCCAAATTATTATTATTATTACTTATTATTTGTATTATTTACCCCTTTAAAGTTGGGTAATTTTCGCTGTTGCGGTGTCCCCCTCAAATGAATTGTATTTCAAAACCTGTTCTGAACAAGTGGTGAGTGTTGTCATCTCTCTGTGTACATGACCAACAAACCAGAGGCACACAGACTTCAGGATGTTTTAGGACCTGTTTACATTCTGTGCTCATCTCTCTTTGGTGACACAAATGTTTCATGATGGAACCTGACTCTCTCACTACTGGTCTTTGATCATATCAGCTTCTTGTAATGATGCTAGCACTCTGTCTGTTTGGTTTACTGTGGGGAAATTAACAGTTTGTAATACTTAGTTCCAAATCCCCTGTATTAAATTTAGGGATTCCTGATTGCTTGTGTTTTTACAGCACCTGTGTATTTAGAAAATGCTAGAAATACAGGAGTTGCCAGACATTATATTTTATTTTTTTATGCAGTGATTTGAAAGTTGGATTCAGTATTTGCAGTGTGAAATTCTACAAATGATGCACATTTCAAATGTTCAAAAACCTGCTGCAATGTGCAGCAGTAAACCCAACTGTGCCTTAAATTTGTGCTTTTTAAGACTGGCACTGCATTGCTGGAGAATGTCCTGGATTTGAAACAGTTTAAAGGGTGAGGAAGGCCTGCCACAGATGTAGTTTTGGTAGGGTTTGACATCTTCAAATTTGGTGTTTTGTAGTGTTTTTTTTTTTATATATTAAACCAAATGCGTCTCTCTATTTATTATTGTTTTTTAAAATCAGCCATGGTGTACTATTTTAATGTCACTAGACCTGTTACATTTGTGTCATAACCTTTTTTCATCAATACACTGACCTTACATCTGCTTCCAAACAATTGTCAGGATGTGTAAAACAACAAAATAAAGTCATACTTTCAGAAATAAGCCAGTTGATAGTGCATCACTGCAATCTATTTTTGTATGTCTCCAGCAGTATGGTGCACTAGCGACGTCTTAGCCGACACTGACTGTAATAAGCCTGCATGTAAATGTTGGTTTGATGTGACAGCAGTTCTCCAGGCTTGTGCGCCACCTGTAAGTGCATCCTCATGGATGCATTCTTTTCCTCTGATGTATTTTATGTAAACACTGTACATTGATATAACTGTAATATGTACTATTATATGCAGCTTTATTTCCATTGCGTTGTATGTTTGGAGTTATCAGTATCCCTAACCTGCTAGCCAGAGGGGGGTGGTGTACAGTACTACAGACATTTAAAAAGATACAGATGTTTTAATGTAATTTGTCAATTGTACAAACATCTAAGATTAAAGGTTTATTAGGAATTTTTAAATTGTGGTTGTGCTTTTCTGTCATTTGCACACATTGGGCAGAAACATTTTAAAACAGCCTTCCACGTTCTATTATGTGTTTTTTATTCAGTCATTTATTCATTGATGTTCAGGTTCTTTGTTTTTATATTTAAATCCATAATTCATTTTTCATTATTTTTAAGTAATAGGTGTTTAACACATGTAGTCTGAGGATCTGGTCTCTGTACTCTGAGGATCCAGTCTCAAGTAATTCATAACTAATTTGTAATGATAATCAGAAAGCTTCAGCTTATTCAAAATGCAAAAACTCCCACATTTTGTGTGTAATAATACAAAATGTGGGAAAATGTATTGCATATTGGGCTCTTTCTACTACATTTCTGCTGCAGATTGTTACAAAATACAGGTTTTATTACATAATGATGTAAAAATGTATTATATTTTGTCGAATTTTTGTTGTGTTGTTACCTATTACTTGTAAATGATGGATTTCAGTATTAAAACTGAAAGAAATGAACAGAAAAGAGCCTTATATTGTTTTATATTGACGTGATGCCATTACATGTATTGCATTTTGTCGAGTTATTACATAATGTGGTGTTAGTGCTGTCTAACTTTATTTAATTCTGACTTTAAACTCAAAATGTTTGTTTAAAGTCAGCACTCAGGAAATTTGTGGAATAATCCAAATACATTATTACCCAAGGGTTGGCGTACACAATAGCTGAGTGCATTCAGCATTCATCATAACCTTAACAAAGCATAACTAGCTAGCTTAGGACATACTGACCATTTGTGCCATCTCATTTAGCTTCGTTAGCGCTAGCTTCATCAGTCACTGCCGTTATTTAAGTTACTATATTCGTGTTAAACAAAATGTTTTGAATATGGATGGGCTGTTTGTAGTCCGGTTGCATCATGCTGTGACGACGCTTATATCTATCTACCAACAAAACGGATCCTGAGTGGGTCCTGGCCATGTTTGGAGATGTGCAAGTCCTCCGTCATTCTACCCCCCCACACACACAGCCTGTTGGTCGACGGGACGGACTAGACTTTTACCCTGTGTGTCTGTCCCAGGTCCAGTTTATGTAGATATTGTCGCTATCGACACGACACTTGAACGCCGCGTTTCTGCTGCTGCTTCTTCTCTCCGGTATGGAAGTATGTTTTGTATTTTGTGGCAACTTAAGGTTAGTTAACACAAACCGTGGCACGGGGCGAGTTACAGAAATGATGTGCAAAAGTATGTGCAACGTGTTAGAAATAGAGACAGATACTAATCACGTGTCAACTTAACCTAACTTACGTAACGTGTAGTTAATGCAGTGTACTTAGACAACGTTAGACATCCACAACACTTGGTTGTGTTTCAATATGGCGCACTTGTGATTCAGGTTAAATCCGCCACGAGAGTTCAGAATATTTGCTTAGCCTGTTGTATTTCACGTTTTTTCTTAACTATACAACCAAATATTTTGATGTGTATATATAGAGGTTACCATATTGAACCCTGTATTTATGAAACTATTTCAAAACTCAATAAACGTTGTATGGCATGATACAAGGCATTCCAAATTGCTACACTTGACTGACATCCATTGGCAGTGGCTGTCACAGCAGTTTTAGTTAACCACTTGGATAACAGAACTGAAAGCACTGTGTTAATGAGCTGGTCCTTGAGTTACTAGTATCCACATGATAATAATGATAAAATTAATTTCTAACGTGGCCTACAGAACACAAAGGTCCAGTGTGTAACATTTGAGAGGATCTATAGGCAGAAATGGAATATATTCATAGATATGTTTTCCAAGCGTATAATCACCTGAAAATAAGACATTTTATGTTTATGTTTACGGGTCACCTCCTGTGGAAGCCGCCAAGTTGAACCACCATGTTTCTACAGTATCACAGAACGGACAAAGATAGATACAGCCGTTTGTGTTTTCGACCACCATTTAGAAACCATTTCTACGGAAACACAAGTGTGCTGCAAATACACAAACAGCAACAGAAGTGTTTCACTTAAAGGTGCTGTATAATTAAAAATAGACATAGCCTCCTTGACGTCACCCGTAGGTTTCTGAAGAGCCGTTGTGAAGCTCAGTGTGGTTGGCTTTGGCAGTGTTGACTCCACTGGCTCCAGGCTAATGTAAAAATGAGCAAAGAGGTGGTCGCTCAAAGCAGCCAAAGCCTTAATTATGCATAACTTAAAGCCTTGATATATAAATTAATTGATGAGTTGTATAAAAATTCAACTCCCATACAGTTGTCATGAACGGGGAAATTATATAGAGACCAAAACTGTTTTATGTACATAGAAGTACAAAAATCTCCTCCCCCCCTAAAGATGTGTGATAATTGTGATGTATAACTTTTTAAACATAAAAGCTGAGGTTACCTCTTCTTTTACCATCTGTAGTCTGTACCTCAATATATTTCTGCTAAAATAATGCCCATATGAACATCATGCAGGCTACAGGCCGTCTGTCAGCATTGGTGGTAGGACAGTAAAAGTTAATATCTTTCATTAACACTAAATCTCCTCAGAAATCAAATATCTGATAGTTCCACCTCTGGAAAATTTCACTTTTTTGTTCTGTAAGGCCCTGTGAGGTATGTGCAGCAGTCACTTTCAGTGCATGCACAGAGCAGTAGCATTCAAAAACCCACAGCATAAACATTAATGGATGATACTAGGGATGTCCGATAATAGTGGCCCTCCGATATTATCGGCTGATATTCACTAAAAAAATGTAATATCGGGAATTATCGGTATCAGGTTTTTATAACCGATGTTTGTTCTGTAGGCTTCAGCATTTCCGAGCTTGCATGAACGCAGCATGGGACGTTTACCGGCGCGCGCTAGATGACGTATAACAACAACAACTACACTCTAGACTGGTTGGTTGCTAACCGTGGCTAACAAGAAAACAATTTAAAGCTGAATGATTTTAATATTAACACAAAATAAGTGCAATGCACCTTAAAGGGACATTGTGTAGGAATTTCTCCCATCTAGTGGTGAAATTGTATTTTGCATTCAAACGAATAGTGCTCTCTAGTGCCTCGCGTTTTCAAATGCATTTTGCAACTACGGTAGCCGTTATGTACCAAGAAGCCTACCTGTCGAGGAGAAAGCAGGCAACTTCAGCGTCCCTTTGAAAGTCTTTCTCCTTCATTAGCTCTTTCCACCTGGGAAAAGCTACCCCGATGTTTACCCTCGTTTTTTGAATTTTCCGGTCACTTTGCCTTTTTAATTCCCTTTTTTCTCTTTTTTGGTGACGGCATAAGTATGATCCTCCATTATTAACTAAAGTGCAGTGCAGACTTTCAAATGTGCCAGGGCAGTGACAAGCGCCTCTCACTGATCTCCTTCTCCGTTATAGCTGGTTTCAGTCACGTGACGCTGGCTCTGAACGAAAATGTGTTGTGGATTAGCTAGACAGGTAGGCTAGTGCTTTATGTCCCTCTCGGCGATTATAGTTTTTCAAAATGGCAGAACGACATGGAAGCCTCCATGGACTTGCCCGTCCAATGTACAGTGGGTACGGAAAGTATTCAGACCCCTTTAAATTTTTCACTCTTTGTGTCATTGCAGCCATTTGCTAAAATCAAAAAAGTTCATTTTATTTCTCATTAATGTACACTCAGCACCCCATCTTGACAGAAGAAAACAGAAATGTAGAAATTTTTGCAAATTTATTAAAAAAGAAAAACTGAAATATCACATGGTCATAAGTATTCAGACCCTTTGCTCAGTATTGAGTAGAAGCACCCTATTGAGCTACTACAGCCATGAGTCTTCTTGGGAATGATGCAACAAGTTTTTCACACCTGGATTTGAGGATCCTCTGCCATTCTTCCTTGCAGATCCTCTCCAGTTCTGTCAGGTTGGATGGTGAACGTTGGTGTTGTTGTGCACCTGTCTGTCTGTCTCTCGCTCTCTCTGCCTCTCTCTCTCTCTCTCTCTCTCTCTCTCACCCCAACTGGTCGAGACAGACGACCACCCACCTAGAGCTGGAGGATCTGTCCTAGGTTTCTGCCTTTTAACAGGCAGTTTTTCCTTGCCCTTGTCGCCAAGTGCTTGCTCATGGTGGTACTGTTGGGTCTCTGTAATTAATGTTTTAAAGAGTTCGGTCTAGACCTGCTCTATTTGAAAAGTGTCCTGAGATAACTTCTGTTATGAATTGGCGCTATACAAATAAAATTGAATTGAATTGAATTGGTGGACAGCCATTTTCAGGTCTCTCCAGAGATGCTCAATTGGGTTTAGGTCAGGGCTCTGGCTGGGCCAGTCAAGAATGGTCACAGAGTTGTTCCGAAGCCACTCCTTTGTTATTTTAGCTGTGTGCTTAGGGTTATTGTCTTGTTGGAAGGTGAACCTTCGGCCCAGTCTGAGGTCCTGAGCACTCTGGAAGAGGTTTTCTTCCAGGATATCTCTGTACTTGGCCGCATTCATCTTTCCTTCAATTGCAACCAGTTGTCCTGTCCCTGCAGCTGAAAAACATCCCCATAACCTGATGCTGCCACCACCATGTTTCACTGTTGGGATTGTATTGGGCAGGTGATGAGCAGTGCCTGGTTTTCTCCACACATACCGCTTAGAATTAACGCCAAAAAGTTCAATCTTGGTCTCATCAGACCAGAGAATCTTATTTCTCATAGTCTGGGAGTCCTTCATGTGTTTTTTGGCAAACTCTATGCGGGTTTTCATATGTCTTGCACTGAGGAGAGGCTTCCGTCGGGCCACTCTGCCATAAAGCCCCGACTGGTGCAGGGCTGCAGTGATAGTTGACTTTGTGGAACTTTCTCCCATCTCCCTACTGCATCTCTGGAGCTCAGCCACAGGGATCTTTGGGTTCTTCTTTACCTCTCTCACCAAGGCTCTTCTCCCACCATTGCTCAGTTTGGCTGGACGGCCAGGTCTAGGAAGAGTTCTGGTCGTCCCAAACTTCTTCCATTTAAGGATTATGGAGGCCACTGTGCTCTTAGGAACCTTGAGTGCTGCAGAAATTCTTTTGTAACCTTGGCCAGATCTGTGCCTTGCCACAATTCTGTCTCTGAGCTCCTTGGGCAGTTCCTTCGACCTCATGATTCTCATTTGCTCTGACATGCACTGTGAGCTGTAAGGTCTTATATATAGGTGTGTGCCTTTCCTAATCAAGTCCAATCAGTTTAATTAAACACAGCTAGACTCCAATGAAGGAGCAGGACCATCTCAAGGAGGATCAGAAGAAATGGACAGCATGTGAGTTAAATATGAGTGTCACAGCAAAGGGTCTGAATACTTATGACCATGTGATATTTCAGTTTTTCTTTTTTAATAAATTTGGACAAATTTCTACATTTCTGTTTTTTTCTGTCAAGATGGGGTGCTGAGTGTACATTAATGAGAAATAAAATGAACTTTTTTGATTTTAGCAAATGGCTGCAATGAAACAAAGAGTGAAAATTTTAAAGGGGTCTGAATACTTTCCGTACCCACTGTATATACAGATAAGAAATTCTTCACTTACGAGGATAAGTCAGATCATTGGCAGAGGTAATTTTACACCAATAAGGACACATTTATGAATGAAGACATTAATTTTAGCTAATAAAACACTACACAATGTCCCTTTAAATATTTTACCCTGCTATGAGCTGTTCCTTAACCAAACTAACAATTGGCTTAGAATTTACATTAGCACTCCTTCAGGTGCATAATACAATTAAACACATTAACCAAAGCTAGCGCTTAGCTAGCGATTAGCGCGTAGCTAGCGATTAGTGTTAGCGCTCTTTTCAGTATTAATACAATGAAAGTTGAAGTTGTTCTCTTATTTTGCACAGACAGTGTTTCCATTTGGAAAGCCATGTTGCATTTATGTATGCATCCAGTGGGGCATCACAATAAAATGAGGCATAATGTGTTAATTCCACAATAAGAGATATGTTTTGTTGTTACCTAACAGTTTTGGTGTAAAAAGCCTGTATATATCGGTATAGAGTGATATCGGTATCGGAAATTGAGAGTTGGACAATATTGGATATCGGCAGAAAAGCTAATATCGAGCATCCCTAGATGATACACAAACCCAACTTCAAAAACCAAATGAGTCACAAACCATATCGACAAGCATGTCCAAGCGGTGCTCAGCACTTTTTGGTGTCCTCTGGAAACACACTGTGTAGGATTTAGTGGAATGTGTAGTTGCATACTGATAGCGGTTTAGTTGAAACTCCCTCACTTCACCTTCTTTGTTCAAGTGTGTAGGAGAAACTATGGTGGCTGTGAAAAATGCTAACAGCCATATCTAGAGCCAGTGTTTGGTTTGTCCGTTCTGGGCTGCTGTAGAAACATGGCAGCGTCCATGGAAGGTGACCAGCAGTGTCTGTAGATAGACAGAGCTCATTCTAAGATATAAAAATTATGTTTTGTTCTTATTTTTAAGTGATTACCTGCAGCATTAGCATCTGAGAAGGTAAACGTATCATCTCACATGAGCTGAAAATGTGTGTGTTATTATTATTATTATTGTAGTTTTGTCATAAAATACCAAAGCACTGTGACAGCTTTAGTTGCTGCGCCCAGCACCAGAGGAAGCTGTAGCAGTATCTTTCATTGTTTGGTATAAGGCTTTGGCTGACCTTATATTGTAACAGAGCGAAGGGCAGCAGATTGGCATAGAAATGCACAGAGCAGAAGACAGAGAGGGCTTTGACTGGAGAACCTGACATTTTGTAGCACCGTGGATGTTGGACTGTTGACTAGTAAGTCACATTTATTTGCTTGCGTGCGTACATAGATATAAATAACAGCTCACTTGGATTTATTATTATAGTATATTGTAGCTTGTTACAATATACAATGTCAAATCATAACACTGTGTGTAGTAATGTCCTTAACTAAAGTGCGGGTTTTAAATATTATGTATAATATGTCATTATAGTGAACTTATAAAAACTTCACAGAATATCTTTTTAGATTTTCTTGATTAGAGTAAATACAACATGGGTGTTAAACTTAAACGTAAAATCAGTCTTTAATTGGAAAAAACAAAACAAAACGTCAATATAACAGTTTGATCAGTCTGGCTTTGCTGTCCTTAGTTAGCCTTTCAAGGAAGTGCTGATAGAATACTGTTTTCCTGCAGTCACACACTGCTGTAAACACTGCTATATAAGGCCAACGTTGTAGAGCCATTTATCTCAAAGCACTTAAATCAAACAGAATGTGGTTTTTCTCTTGGCTTTGGATATGTGTCTCTGTCACATGAATATTTTCTCATGCTGCAATGCAGCATTGATCCAGAGCGAGTAAATAATAGTCCAACTTTCATCTGGCGAGGCCATGATCACAGGGACTGAAAACAGATGGCATAAGTTTGTTTGTTGGTCATTATTCAATGAGCCTTCAGTTCTATATGGAGTTAGTCAAAAATATTTATTTACTGAAGTGGGAAGATATACTTCAGGATGTTCTAAATTATAAATCATAGCAAACAAACAGTCAGTGAGTCACACCAGTGGATATTTTTGGGTTTACGGAATAATTCAACTGTTGTGTTTCTCTCTGTCTGTCTGTTTCTCTCTTTTTCTTTCTATTCAAACTTCAGCATCACAAGAGAACTAAAAAAAAAAGAACAACCAAACCAAAGTGGTTGATGAACAAACAAAAGCAACAAAAACAACAACTCCAGCCTTCACCTCCCACCCTCTTCTTAATCTGAAAATAAAAAGGAATCAGTCACAACCAAAACATTGATTGGTGATTGGTAGGCAAAGACAAACTTAGCAAGATAACATTGCATTTTACTTTGTGTGTGTGATTTTGTGTTCCAGCCCGTTTCTCTCTTCCTCCCTCTTCAGTGTGACTGTGTGTCTCATGGCTCTCCTCCTCAGACGTGGCCTCTTCACGGCCCTGCGACATGCTCTTGAGCAAGGCAGCAGCTCTGTCTGCCACCCTGCACTGCCTGCTGCTCTTCTAGGTAGAGTAAGCTGTTAACTTTCGTGTTAACATTAGCAGTATTTCCAACACATAGTACAGCTTGACTCAACAATGGTTTTAAGGACAAAATTATCAATGATCAAAAATGATAACTTTAATTAATATTAAAGTTCCTAAGGACACAGGCACCCGGGTGTCCCATGTACCGAGTCCTTGCTGCAGCGGCCCAGGGTCGAATCCCTGCCCGTCATCCCCTCTCTCTGCACCCCTTTCCTATCTGTCTTCAGCTGTCACTATCAAAGAAAGGAAATAAAAGCAAAAAAGAGAAAAAAAAAAAGTTCCTAAGGACACAACCCTTAGAGAGGGGAAACAATAGCCAATAATTGATTGATTCAGTCATAAAATACACTAAACTAGTCATTTGGAAATCGGATTAATTATTAAATGAATACCATATCAATGGTTTAAGTCCAAGGATTTGCAGTTCTGCATAGAAGAGGTTAGTACCCGCTTTTGTGCATTATTAAACAGGCCTGCATATATACAAGCATCTATCAAAAAACATAATGAAACACAAAATATAAACTAACTAAGGAGTGTCCTCTCCATGTGTGTGGTTGTAATTAAGGGAAATTCAATGTGTACACGTTAGTCCCTCCAGCATTTCACTGGCTGTTTTTGGGATTGCTGTGGCCTAAAAGGCCTTTTTTTTATTGCGGTGCATGTTGCAACATTTGTCGGCATTTTTTTTAACAATGAAATTGAGGGAGAAAGTGAAGATTGCACCAACAGTTGCAATTTTTTTTCTGTATAATTCACTAAAAGTCAAGGGCAACTTGTTCCAGGGAGAATAACATTGCTAGTATTTGTGACGTATGGCTCAACGTTTTGTCTGTTTTTCATTTGTAGAAAGGTTACTGTGATAGCACAAAATTCCAAGGTTGCACAGAATACACAGGGATTGACTGAAGACCGGTCCAGCAGAAGCAATGTTACAGTTTCCTGACGGGAATGTGTTTGTGATCTTAGATTAACAGTACCAAGGTAAAGGAGTTAGCTGCGTGCAAAGACTGTGTCTGTGTTAAGTGTGAACATATTTTGACATCACCCATTGGTTTGTGGAGTACCGTTTTGAAGCCTAGGGTTTGGCGTTATGACTCTCGCCATGACAGTTTGCAGAGGTGATGAACTGTGAGTTGAGCTGCACTCATTAGCTGCACAATTTCAACTTGTCTGTAGCATGAAAACAATGGTGGCTCGCCTGTTCACACATGTCCTTCTATTACAGATAAACATTACACTAAAATATGTTTCTCAAACAATTTCCGAAACTTAAAGCAACAGAAACTAGATTTATATTTGATCAGCACTGCCTAGTTTGATAGTTTGATCTGAGTTTGGTTAATTGCTCTGGACTGACTCACTGAGAATGACTTGTCAATCACAAGGTAGACGCACCCTAAGACAGACCCTACTTTATTGTCTGTTTTATTCTAAATGGCACCATAATTTACAAAACGAACATAATGCTGTATAGAAGAAAATTTAAACTAGCGACTGAGACCCTAAACTCAGGAGACAGATAATAAATCAACAAGAAATGGGGTAATTTCTCCATAAGACTTAAAGGGACACTTCACCCATTTGCATTAAGCTTTGTATCATTAGAACCCCAGTCATATTTTTGAATGGTCGTGCATCATTCCCTCACTTTCCCTGAGAGGGGAGAAATAAAGATTTTAGTGTTGTACTTCCTGCTTCCAATGATCGTCATTTTGCGTCATTGGAAGCAGGAAGTCTCATATCTCTGTAGAGGGGGTGAGACTACAAACACTACTTCCTCATTTTTTTTTCACTCACGCTACAGACCTATTACAGATCAGTGGGTGGGACTTCACTTGCAGAAACTAAAAAATATAACCGGCATCTTGTTTGGAAGCTAAGCCAGACGTTATGACTATGGTAATCAATCTAATATGGAAGAAATTTCGAAAGTATGATGGTCGAATCAGATGTTCGTGGCTACCTTTATGAGCCGCAATATAGCGAGCAGCGGCTGAGGCTGAACAGGAGGCGGCTGAGGCTTCTGCAGCCGAGGCAGAGGACCTGCCTGTCGCGGACGAGGAGCCCGGACTGGCTCGAGCTGGGGCGGACTGCTGGTGCCTGTGCTCTCACTGTGCGCCTACGGACTGTAAAGTGAGTGTTTCTATTTTCTTTCTTATAACAACGTGGCATGTATGTACACAATTTGTTCAAGCATTATCACAAAGTTATTCCCGGTTAATACGTAACGTCAGCCAAGTGAACTAACGTTAGCTTCTTTACTGCACAAACAGCTTGCAGTTGCATTGCTAACTACTGTGGCACGCTAAACACAAAGACCATGTATCTCTAACTGTGTGCTCAATGTCTTGTAGACAATATCGCCTAACAGCCTTTCTGGAATGGGTCCTGCAAGGCGAGAGATTGGGTCGAGGCCATCGTGTCGTTTTACCCACTGATGTGGTGCAGGCTATCCGACAGAAATATCCAGCTCCAGATGGCCAGTACTGCGGGCACCAAGAAGTTGAGGACGCTCAGGAGGAACTATAACTGTCATTGTTAACATATTTATTTTTGTTGTTGTTGATATATTTCTATAAATAAATGGTTTACATTCACGTTGTTGTAGTCCTTGATAGTGTTAGTGGGAGCGGCTTGCGGAGCTGTGCATTGTGGGAGTTGTTGTCTTTGATACAAATGCGCCCTAAAGTCACTTTCTGTCTTTTCTCGGTCAAATAGGCACCAAATTCAAAATATATGTTACATTTCGACTACATATATAACCCACTTTCAATAAATATTAATGTTTCCACGGGTGAAATGCTCCTTTAATGATATTGGTCTTTTATTGCAGCCAATAGAGCTGCCCTCTTCTGGCCATTACATAGAACGCAGAGTTTCTTTGCAGCGTTAGCAGTTAGCAACTTGGTGCTAATGCTTCGTAACTCTTTGTAAAGAAGAAGCTTGTTTACTCTTGTGTGCTCATCAGGAAAAACACTAACAGGCTAATTTAACTTGTGGTTCTGTCTGTGGGTAAAGCAATGGTCTTGTGTGAGTTTGGTGGCTTTCATGTGTTGCACTACAGTATCCCCAAACAGTCGGATTATTCTAGGGGTTGTGACTTTAAAAGGTTGAGAACCACTGACGTATAACATAGCACATCATATACCCACACTTTTTCGGCTTGTGAGCTACTTTCAAAATTACCAGGTCAAACTGATCTACCTACATTAAAAAATGCTAAACATATTGAAGTGAAGGCAGGAAGGAAGGGACCTTGAAACTGTTAAGTCAGTCCAAATTCCTTATTTCCCTTTTTTTCAAGCAGTGGATCAGTGCAGCTTATTTACAGTGAGGGTCAGCTTGGCCCAAACTAAGCACACCATTGTTTCTATATATTTTATATTTTCCTAAACTCCAGTTAGTTACTGATTAGATGTCCATATAAGAAGGGTAAGAAAACCAACTTGTGTAAGATCAGATTCAATGGCTAAAAAGTCATACCTCAATGCTTTTTCACTTGTCTCTGTGTCTATCAAAGTCACATTTCAAAGGTTTGAATTAGTATAACTAAGGTGAATTAAAGTTTTACACAGATACACCATGCTGTTACCATTACCATTATCACCATTACTCTAACTAAAATAATCATCAAATAATAGGACAATATTGGTGCCATGTATGAGTCAAACTTAAATCTGAATGACATCCAAAGACCACTGCTCAGTATGTTTGTGTGTATGAGTTGGTGTGTGAGTGAGAGTGTGTCTGCATGTGCACTTTGCACATGCATGTATGTCTTGGTGTTAGAAGTGTGAATATGAGTCATAATGATGAATCTGTATTATCAGTATCATCAAAGGGTGGTTCTGTTCTCTGGAAGCTGTGATTCCAGTCTCTGATAAATTCCTTTCATAATATGATAAAGTCTCTCTATGGACAGCTGATGTTTGCATTACCAGAGCATCGACACGTACAATTTAATGTATTTTTAGTTGAAACTGAACTTTGGGGAAAAGCACAATATGGATAGAATTTTCTAACATATAAACCAATGCATTTTAAGCCGACTACATGTTTTCAGCTTTCAAAAATCTGTAGTGGTATTATTGGTTGCCTGGTTTTTCTGTATGTTTTCTAGTCAGAGAGAGACAATGGATTTTACGTTCTGAGTACACGTTTAGTTTAAAGGTTCTATATGTAACTTTCACAAAAACATTGTTATTGTTGTTATGATAGTGGCCATTTAGGGAACTGCAGTCAGCGTCCTGTGGCCTGCACTCACACTCTCAAAACAGTTTGTAGGCATCACACTGGCAAATTTTTAAGGAACCCTTTTATTCATTGGCAATAAAAAGTGATTAATACTTAAAAAAAAATATGTAAAATGTTTTTGAATCTTATATATGGAACCTAAAATATTTAGATATTATATTTGCTTTTTTTTACTTTAATTTTTAGCCATCACTATCTTAAAGTCATAAACTACACTGGAAAAATTGATTGTAATGAAGGAATTTGTCACCCACTCAGGATAAAGTATTGATGTTTTTTGTTTCTTTTCATTCTTGTTAACCAATGTCCATCAAACTCTGCATGAACAGTGGGTATCCCACTGATGACCAGCACTTTCATTCCACATTTTGTCTCTAATGCTGTTCAGTATCTTGACCTGTGTTGTCTTGTGATGTTTTTCCCTTCTGTGTGATTCCCTTCATTCAGCCCAGTCCTTGGTTGTAGCCCTGCTGAGGGGTGTTTGGTTCTTGTGGTGGGTGGAGTACCTCTCTCCAGCAGCCATGTCGGGCTTCAATCTTCTGCATCTAATAACCAAGAGCCAGCCTGTAGCTCTGAGATCCTGCAGTCTTCCCTCAGGTCCAATGACTGGATGCTGTGTGCCTGCTGTGCTCTGCCTCTCTTAAAGCCTTAATACCTGGCTGGTGTGTCAGCATGTCTTTACTGTCCCAGTCTGTGTGTTGAGAATGATGTGAGCTGCTTTCAGTTATTTTCTAAAATTTGACGGATACTCTCGAGGAATGGTGATAAATTTCTGAACGATGCTTGAGAGCTCCCATATACGACCAAATCTGAACAGGACTGGTTATTGGATCTCAGCAATTAAAGGGCCTTAAAGGGCAATTATCTTTCCTCTTGTCTTTCATGACGGAATTGATTGTGCTGCAGCTGTATTCTTGGTAGCTAAGCTGACTGATGAAAGTCAAGATGCCAAACCTTTTTCCAATAAGGAAAGTTGTTATTGAACACTTGATTGTTTTGCATTGTGACATACAAGTGCTTCTCAGTCACAGAAAAAAATGTCCCCTGCACCTCAGATTAATGACAGTAATGTATATTTAGTATTGGCAGGTATGTGCCTCCCTCTGCTGGACAACTCTTTAATTCAGTACACCGCTTTGTTGCATGTGTTATAATTTAATTTTAATGTCCAAAATTCATGTTATAATGAAAAAAAATTAACTCAGCTATTAAATTGAAGCAGCTCAAAATTGTCCTATTAATACATGTTTTTAATTTAAATATTACACACTAAGTGCATACAAAGACATGACAGTTTGTTGTACTTCACTTTATTTCTTGGTTTGATTTGTTTTTATGTAGGCATTTTAAACCGTTCATAATTATGTACCAATATGTTGTCCAAATATTAGGGTTATTCTTAAAGGACCATACTTTGTGGTTTTGCATGTTTTAGCACATTTATCATTTTGTAAATTGTGCTACTGTGTTTTATAAACTTAGATATCGCTACTTTTCCAGGAGTCCATAGAATTATTATCTATACAGTATAAAAATCAATCACACTCATAAAACTTGCTCATTCTTCTTCTACTGTATTATTGTTGAAAGATAATGCAGTCAAACTGCGTTATCAAACAACAATAACATAATTTTGACAATACACACCTGATAGTCAATGTGAAGGGTAGCAAGTTCTAGATTCTATTAATATTTAAAAAATATATATAAAAAAATATAACTTTTTTTAAGTCGACAAAAATGAATGGAAATTCAAATTAAAATAATAAAATAGTATAGCCTGTCCTCAAAATGGTCAGCAAAGATGTACATTTTCACAAAAATTACTGGGGTTGTCAAAGAGATAACAAGATTTTTTCAAAAGTACAAATGCCTTTATAGGTTTAAGATTTTCAAGACTTAGACTAAAGGTACACAGTGGAATTTTCAATGTAAAATGATGAGTTCAACATTAGTTGAGTTTGTAGCTCTACTCACATGCTCACAAGTGCTAACAGAATAATCAAAGGATTCACTGCTTGGCTTCCCTGCAGCTTGCTTGCACTGAATGGTTTTAGTTTTGTTTAACAAATCTACACGTAATGTTAAAGGGATTTATTACTCATTGGTTATTTTTTGTGTTTTGTTTGTGGACATCAGTCAGTTATTCTTGCGCAATAAATGTCTACATGATGAAGGAGTCAGGAGAAAAAGTGACAGAGAATGGTGTTCAGAAGTTGATCATTTAACAAATTTCCCCCATGGGGATCAATAAAGTATTTCTGATTCTGGTTCTGATACTGAAGCCATGTAATTGCTTTAAGATCTACTTATCATGTTGGAAAAAAATACCAGGAACCACATGTAGAAAAGACTCTGAACAACATATCACTATCCAGTTTATCCTGAATAGCTGGTAGTGACATACACACGCCACTGCACATCACCTCATGGAAACATCACCTAAAATATAAAAGGCTGACGTCATTACTCATTCATTCATAGATACAGAGTTATTTTGGTGGATATGATAAAAAAATAATAATAATACAATTGTAATTGGCTCCAAAACCATTTATGACATATGAGAACATTTCAGGGTTGATTTGTACGACAGAGTATAAGGGCCAGACTAAGAAAAAAAAAAATTGTGGGGGGGGGGATTACGAGAATAAAGTCATAATGTTAGGAGAATAAAGTCATAATATTAGGTCTACGAGAATAAAGTTGTAACATTACAAGAATAAAGTCGTAACATTGCAAGAATAAAGTCGTAATAATACGAGAATAAAGTCGTAACATTACAAGAATTTATTACATATTACATTACGACTTTATTCTTGTAACATTACGACTTTATTCTCGTAATATTATGACTTTATTCTCGTAATTCCCCCCAAAAAAAATAATTTCTTAGTCTGGCCCTAATACGCCGTTGTAGATTTGGAACATACATGTAGTGGAATAAACATAGTCATATATATTTATTCATTTCCAATACTCTCAGAAACAATTACTAGCTTGCCACAGTCTTAATGACAGCACTGTTTATTTGTCATTGTCCTTATTATACTGTAAGCTTAGTTTTTGGCCCACTTGCTTGTTGTTGAAGAATAGCTGGACATCTTCCTGCATAGTTAATATATTTTGTCCTCTCTGCCTCGCCCCTCAGGAGCATGTAGAACTAAGAAGACATGGCCAGTGAGCTTTTCTCAGGAGGATCTGAGAAAGCGTCTCACACCGATGCAGTATCATGTTACCCAGGAGAGAGGAACTGAGAGGTAGGATGACTCACTGTAACCACTGCATCTCATTTGTTGTGATCAGTCACTATTCAATATAATGATTTATATCATGAAAATTATATGAACACATTACATTCAATTTACAAAATTTTTTGCCCTTAAACTCAACAGAAAGGAGATCAGATTTTGTATTTGTTTTGCCCATTTTTAAGTGAAATTGCAACCTAATGCAGCATTTATTACAACAACTTTTGGCAGTATTTTATATCTATACCACGATAATTAACAAATCAAGCTTATTTGAAAAAGGAATATTATAAATACCCAGGAAGTCGTGTAAAATCTAATTATGTATTCTCATGTTTGGTATTCTATTTTGTTGTGTGCTTATGGTTCTATTTTTTTCTATTCATATCTATATATGTTTTTATATATCAAGCTTTAATGCTTTTGTTCATCATCTGTAATGTGACAATATCAGATTTCCACAAAGTCATAGTTCAGTTTCAGATCCTTGCTGTCAGCCAAAAAGTCCGTCATACTAAACAGTAGTGGAGGTTGTATCAGTGCCTGGTTCAGCAGTAGTTTACACAACTTTGGGCAAACATTCAGCACCGTAACTGAGCGCAGGAACAATGAACAGAAACAACAACTGTTTGCTTTACTGATTTTTAGAAAAGCCATTCTTTTTTTCTAAAACATAAATTTTTCACAGTGCCTTCACTGGAGAGTTTACACACCATAAGGATGATGGGACCTATACTTGTGTTGTCTGCGGGGCCCCACTGTTCAGGTAAGAGCTGCACTGTTTCTATGTGTTTTTTATAACGAGTACGGTCTAGACCTGCTCTATTTGAAAAGTGTCCTGAGATAACTTCTGTTATGAATTGGCGCTATACAAAATAAAATATTGAATGTGTGAACAAGTGCCTAACCCCGCTGCTGGTGTGTGTGTGTGTGTGTGTGTGTGTGTGTGTGTTTTATATTCTAAAAATAATTTAGTAATTTACATTTTCATTTCCTTTTATAGCTCGAAGACTAAATTTGACTCAGGATCGGGTAAGTTGACCACTGAACCACCCCGAGTATCCAGCTCTCACCCGAGCTCTTTCCTGTATATAGATATAGAAATATTTGTTTACCAAAAATTGTTGAATTTATCTTTATGTACATCCCGCAATGATTTTTTTTTTCTTGTTTGTATGTCACTACTCCTCTAAAGTCTGTGAAGTAGAAGAATGCTTCCTCTTATAATATACACCATTCAGCATCTACAGACACAAACTGAAGATAAGACGGCATGCTGTATATACAGTCATTAAAAACAGCCACAGATGATCTGTATCATTATACAGTAAATAAGAGGGAGACAAGTTAAAATCTGCTGTAGACAAAAATGTGAATATTGAAAAGCGGCTTCCAGTAGCACGAGGGTGGGGATGGCTGCGTGAGAACTTTGCTCCTGACCGAACTGCCGTAAACCCCCTTATAATACAGGAGATTTACCTTGTAAGAGTTCAGTAGTATGAACGTGGCCTCAGTAAAAAAAAAAAAAAGGAAAAAAAAAAGGAAACTGACACGTAAAACCAAAAATCAAAACTAACCGAACTCGAGGGGCATTCCCATCGCTACAACATAAGGATCTACGGTATAAAAGAAGGAGCCAAGGGCACCTCGGGGCGGCTGTGGCTCAGAGTCAGAGCGGGTCTTCCCCTAATCGGAAGGTTGTTGGTTTGATCCCCGGATCCTCCTGCCACATGTCGAAGTATCCTTGAGCAAGATACTAATCCCCAAATTGCTCCTGATTCTGTACATCGGTGTATGAATGTGTGTTAAAGGGCAAATGTGGCATGTAGTGTAAAAGCGCTTTGAGTGGTTGGAAGACTAGAAAGGCGCTATACAAGTACAGGTCCATTTACCATTTTACCATTTACCTCCATGATTCGCTTCGTGGAGAACCTCATCCAAACTGAACTGGGAGAGGGCACCGGCCCAAACGAACTTGGTATTGAACGTGCACACAAAGCACTCAGACCCAAACCAACTGATAATGCCCGATGAACGATCGTCAGATTCCTGAAATACACAACCAAAGAGAGGATTATTTGCGCGACGTGGGAAGAAAACATCATGGTGGACGGGAATAGGGTGGTTTTTGACCACAACTACGCAACAGCTGTTATGGAGAAAAGGAGGGAATATCTGCCAATCAAGAAAGTACTGAAAGAGAAGGGAATCAAGTTCCGCACACCGATGACAAAAATGCATGTTTTCCTGGACAGTTACATATGATAATGCGGATCAAGCCAGAGATGATCTACAAGCAAAGGGGTTCACTGGTGAAACGCAGCGCAGAGACAGCAGGGAATATCAACAAAGACAAGCTCCGCTGATTTCAACAAGAAACCGAAACGGACGCTGAGGACTGTTAATCCAAAACCTCCCATCATAACACCAGCTTTCCTGAACATCTGGTGACATTTCCATCTTTATTACTTGTCACTGGATAGAGACTGTGGGCTACATCTCTCAGACCATCTGAATAGCTTTCACTCCGTTACCTCTTCCAAATGGTATGTTACGATGTGTGTTAATGTTTTACAGTACATACTAATGTGCACTTCTGTATTACTTTAAAGTCATAAAGGGTATAGTAAGCTGTAAGTACACTATTGAGCACATTACTTCTCAATGTGTGTAGGTTATCCACTGAGTACCACCCTGATGATGCCAGTAATATTGTTGGGTTGGACCTACTTTACCCCTTAAATGTTTGTTTTACATGCAGTGTTCCTTATCATAATACAGTATACTTATTGATTTTCATAGGCCACGACTTTTATATTACTTTAGTTTCAGAATAGGGCAGTGGGTCCATAGTGTTTGAATGACCACCACCCACACAAACAACCTGAGGGGGCCCCGCAACTCAGCGGCTGAAACACCCCCCTATATAAGGGGTGTAGGGATAACCTCTTCCATGGAAGACCACTTCTTGTTTACTGTTACGTTTTATTGCTATGACTGTTCTGTTATTACTGTTCATGGTTCTTATTTGCTGTTCTCAGGGGAGGCGAGTGAGTATCTAGGAGAATGTCTATCAAAGAATTTAAGGGTTATCACCCTAAATGTCAATGGCTTGTAGACTCCTGTAGTAAAGTAGTGAAGTAAAGTGATATAAAAAATAAAAAGGGTAAAGGTACAAATTATATTCTGGCAAGAAACCCATCTAACAGATCAGGAACATGAAAAGATAAAGAAAATGGGTTTTAGACATACTTATTATTCATCCTTTAAAATAGGATGCAAGAGGGGTGTGGCTATTTTGATGCCAAATAAGGTTCATTTTGAGCTCCAGTCAGAGATTAAAGACAAGGATGGCAGGTTTATTATGGTAAAGGGCAAATTAGATGACAAGGATGTGACCCTGTTGAATGTGTATGCGCCTCCAGGCAGTAACAAAACATTTTACCAGAGAATATTCGATTTAATAGCATTCCAATTGGAGGGAGTCTTAATCTGTGCAGGAGACCTCAACGTAATTATGAACCCAAAGTTGGACACAACTAATCAAAAAAGGGAAATCACCCCCACTGAAAGATGGATTAAAAGGAGAATTCAAGATTTGGGTTTGACTGATGTATGGAGGGATTACCACCATCAACATAGACAGTTTACTTACTACTCAAATCATCACAATGCATATTCAAGAATCAACTATCTATTTATACATAACTCAGAGAGGCACAGGCTAAAGGAATGTGAGATAAACCAGAGAGATATATCAGATCACTCCAGTGTCCACTTAAAATGACATCTAGATACTAGACCCAAAATGACAACGTGGAGATTAAATGTAAGCATGTTAAATAGCCCCAAGTTTGAAGAGAAAATAAACAAATAATCAAGAACATATTTGGATCATAATGATGATGGGAATGTGAATCCAGTGATACTGTGGGATGCCGCCAAAGCAGTCCTGCAGGGGAAAATTATATCAGAATCTGCATTCATAAAAAAAATGAAAACTCAAAAACTCTTAAATTTGCAGAAACAGTTAACAGAACTGGAACAACAACATAGTAAGAGTAAAGACCCACAATTACAGATGTGACCACACTGTGATGAAGTAGAGAAAAATCTCAGGTTTACGAAAGATACTATGAGGCAGGCTCCAAAGCATCCAAGCTGCTAGCCTGGAGGCTGCAAAAACAGCAATCAGAAAATACAGTCTACAAGATTAGAGACCCTACCACTAAAAAGTTACATAAACTAGAGGGAATACAAAAAGCATTTGAGAAATTTTACTAGACCCTGTATACCCAACCCACACTGTTTGAACCCACTAAAGTAGAAGAGTTCCTGAGCCAATTGGACCTGCCCTCCCTGGGGAAAATGCAAAATGAAAAATTAATAAAAGAAATATCAGCTGAAGAAATTGATAAGGCGATCTCTTCCCTGAAGTCCTGTAAGTCTCCAGGGACAGACGAATTTCCAGGAGAATGGTATAAATCACTGAGGGAACAATCAGGGACGGTTGGTATATATGGGCTAACCGGGCTAAGCCCTCCCTACCTTTTACAGTAAAAATTAAAAACTATTATTTAAAACCATAGAACATATTGTTTAAATTTGGTAGAACCTAGTGCATCAACGGCACCAAAAAGTGACAGAAAAAACCCTGGATATATGATATATCTTGAGTTTTTCCTGTGAATGGGCTAAATTCATTCAGCCCAAGCACAGTAGCATAAGCTTCCATTCAATTTTGATTGACAGGTGTTGTGACACGGCCCCATTTGGGCTAAATTCATTCCGCCCAAGCTCAGTAGCCTAAGCTTCCATTGACTTTTGATTGACATGTGTCCTGACACGCCCCCTTCATATGCTGTCCATTCGGGGTAAATTCATTCAGCCCAAAGGCTGACCTTCGACCAATCACAGCGTAGTAGCAACAGTACAGTGACCTTCGACCAATCACAGCGCAGTTGGAAGTGAAGCGCTTGGGGACACATCACCCAAACGATGTACAAATAACACAAAAGGACAGACAGCAAAATCATAATGTAAAATCATTTTGTGTTACGTGGTTTCAGGGAACGGACTGGCTAACAGCACGTGTAGCTAGGAATTCACTTTTCTGTTTCCCATGTTTGCTTTTTGGAGGAGACACGGCTCGGACCGAACAAGGAATTGTGGATTTGAAACATTTATCCGACAAAATTAGGCAACATGAATGCAGCACGAGCCACATTGGAAATGCTGTGAAGCTGTCATTGCTGGGTAAAGTGAACATCGCCTGTCAGCTTAATGAGGGTCACCGCATCGCTGTACAGAGACACAACGAGCCGGTAAAGAAAAACAGGCATGCACTTTCACGGTTTGTGGACTGTCTTTTCTGGACCTCGTCGACCAGTTCTCTTGTTTAGACAGCCAATTAGCCGATCACCTGTCAAACACACAGGTTGCAAAGTACACATCCAAGACCTGCCAACTCTCATCGGTGTCCGCGTGCGTGCGTGTGTGTGTGTGTGTGTGTGTGTGTGTGTCCAGAATATTTTTTCTATATTTACATTTACATTCTTTACAACCAGTCAAATCAAAAAAAGGAACAGTAAACGTAAAAGTAGCAATAGAAAGCTAGAAGTGTGACTTTGGGGCGCCTGCTGGTTAGCTCAGTCGGTAGAGCTGGCGGCGCGGGTTCGAATCCAACCTGCTTCTCTTTGCTGTATGTTATCCCCTCTCTCTCCACCCACCATCACTGTCTCCCTACAGCTGTCTCTATAAATAAAGCCATCAAGAGGCCAAAAAAATAACTTAAAAAACCTCTGAAATTAAAAAGTCGTCCTTGATCTGAGCTGAGACTAGGTATGTAACAATGAAATGTGGTCCAATTGAGTAATCACTCTCTTAAACTTTAAATCTTGAAATAAATTATTTGTTTGTGCGTGTGAACATGATTTAGTGTGGTGAAAACTGTCATAACAAGCAGCAGGAGAGCACATTGTTAACCTCGTGGTAAACTGCATGCTCAAAATATCAGCTCATTGCATTGTTTATTTACTCACAGTTTAATACCATTCTAATCAAAATATCAATCAACCTACAGGTACCTAGGTCCAATCTTAAACACTGGTCTATGAATAAGGCTTTATTGTGATACAGGCAGTCATTTAGGCACAACAATAGTTTTCTGGTTGAATGTTCAGCTCAAGTCTAGAAGGCCCTACATGTCATGATGCCCACCATGAATCAGAATAAGTTCAGGTATTGCACATCTTTAACAGACCACCCAAAAATCCACTAGAATGTAGGAAATCACATCTACTTAATCCAAAATTTCCTGGGGGTTGACCTTCAGCTAGGGATGCACTGATCCACATTTTTTCACTTCCGATCCGATCCCGATACCTGAATTTGGATATCGGCCGATACCAGAGCTCTGTTTTCTTTAATATTATTATTATTATCATTATTGTTGATTTTATATGAGATAATATAAATAAACTCCTCAACAGGCAAGTATGATATGTACGTATGTATGCATGTATGTCCCAAAAGGCAACTTGAGGTAAGTATAAGGTCAGAAAAGGAAGTCAGAAAAACAGGAAATCCTGTTAACAGGAAAAATCCCATTCTGAAAACAAATATGCAACTGTAAGGGTTTCAAATTTATTGTCATGTCAATATTTATTAAATTCCCAAAATGTCAAATATTTGAGTCTTGAAATATAAGAAAAGTGCAATAAGTGTAAACATCTTACACACACACTATCAATAAAACAGTGTGCATCTGAACAGCACAAATCAAGTACACTGGCTCTTGTAGTATCAATAAATCAAGGTTTTAAAATATCAATTATCTGATATATAAGGAAAGTGCAATAACTGTAAACATCTAACACACACTTGCTTGCGCGCGCGCACACACACACACACACACACACACACACACACACACACTCGGTCCCTTTAGCTTTCACGTTGTCTGCCTGGAGTTTACCTTGTTTTTGGAATGACTCCAGAAGTGATTCCTGACAGCTCACCTAAAAAATCCTCGTGCTGTTTCGTGTGGTGCTTTTTTAAATGTTTGATTGCGTTCGTAGTGTTGTACGATGCGAGGGCGCTTCCGCGTCTCTGAACTGAATTATGGCTTTGCAAACATTGCATTTTGCTGTCTTGCTCTGCAGTGTTTCCAGTGTAAAGTATTTCCACACAGCGGACATGTTGGCTAGCCACAATGCTGCTCAATGCTATCCTGCTAGCTGGCTGCAAACTGTGGAATGGATTTCCTGAGCGGGGCGTGTCTCATAACTCTGTGTCTCATTGAGCCGCGCCTCCATTCAGGAAATCCATTCCACAGTTTGCAGCCAGCTAGCAGACCAGCCGGCAGGAATCACCTGTGGAGTCATTTCAGCAGACAACGTTAAAGCGCAGACATGGCTCATGGATATCGGAAATCTGCGCAGGTTGGATCGGGAAATTCCGATACGTGAATTACGCTGGTATCGGTCCCGATATCTGATATCTGAGCCACCAACTTGTGTGGCTGCGTGCGCGGCATCATTTTGGTCACCCCCGACAAAATCTCACTCCAAGGTTTTTTGAAAAGTTGGCAGGTATGTTAACATTCAGAAAGAAATTCGAATTTTAATGTGGCCAACCCGTGATCCAGACTTCAAACCAGGTATAAATGATGGAGGCTTCACTCAATGGGCGAGAAAAGGACTCTCCACATTATGTCTACTAGTCGAAAACCAGGATTTCATAGACTTCAAAACCTTATCAGATAGATACGGCCTTGCTGGGCAGGATTTCTATACCTCCAACTCTGGCACTACTTTGATAAGAACATTAAAGTACTTAAACAGTTAAGTATTACCCAAATGTTTATCACAGCCTATAATACAAAACTGTCCAGAAAGATCATTGGCGAACTATATAGACATATAGCTGATTAAGAGGTCACTCAACGAACTATATTAAGGCGAAATGGGAAAAAGAATTGGGAACTGTAATTACTTCTGAAGACTGGACAAATATAATTAACACACAAATCACCACTACGGCCTCACATCCTGGAAAAATTGTATCAGATTTTTTATAACACCAAAGCAAAAGTCTAAACAGATAGGACTACAATCTACATTCTGGAGAGGATGTGGACACAGTATGGTAGATCATACACACATATTCTGGAGCTGTCCCATTCTTAAATCCTTCTGGGAAGGAGTTCAAAGTATTATCAGAGAAGTCTTGCAGTATAGTTTTAATTTTACCTGTTTATCATTCTACCTGGGTAATATGGACATAGAACTACCAAAGAAAGACAGATACCTCTTAAAAATGTTCATGGCAGCGAGCAAAAAAGCCATAACAAGAAGATGGCTCAACATAGAACCTCCCACGGTTAGTCAGTGGGAAGTCATAATTAAAGACATCCAAACTATGGAACTACTGACTTTTAGTCTCGGATTACAAAGGGACAAAGGTGTTGCCCTCTGGGAAAAATGGAGCACCTGTATCACAAGAAGAGGTGATAACCTGCCTTAATGCCTTTTTATATTTTGGTTAAGAAAAACAATGACCATATTGCTGTAATCAGTGGCTACCTACTCGCAACCCCATGGTTCTCTCATGTTTTGTTCCTATGAATGTGCGCATGTGTATGTGTGCATATATATATATATATATATATATATGTATGTATGTGTGTGTGTGTTCAGGTGCACAGGCATATGTGTACATATCTACCTTTTGTTATTCTTCTTTCTTTTTTGTTGTTTCTTTTGTATCAATAAGGACACTACAGGGTTAGCATTTGAATTAATTTGTCACCTCATATTGTAACCATACCTACTTTTGTTCAATGCATTGATGCTGCCCATGTTTTGTACAAAAAACTTGAAAAATAAAGTATAAAAAAAAAAAGAATATTGAAAAGCTTCTGCTGAAGAACATACTGTTGGAAGATGCTCCACTTTTAAAAGCTCATCCAGTGGACCTTTGAACCACACTGGATACAAGATGAAGCTAAGGCTCTTCCATCAGTTTAATTGACTGGTCTGCAACTGATAAGTCTTTCAGTAGCTGGTCTATCAACACAATGGCCAGTCAGTGAACAAATGTCTGCAGTGCGTCTAAGTTACAGGATCTTACTGTTGTCTCTCTTGTAGGCAGTGGCTTTTCTGCAAATATTATGTGGAGTGATTTTTTTCAACCTTACACACAGTTGTAATGTAATGTTGATGTTCTGCAGGCCTCTCCACACAGACGCTGGGTCGTTAGCTGAAAAGCTACATTTCTCCACAGTAACTCCACTTTGTTGCTTTGACCTCCTTTGTCACTGTATTTCTGGCCTAGTACAGGATTCTGTCCCCACTTCTGTAGGCCTCCTCCTTGGTGTGACGAAGCAGGCCTGTAATTCCAGCTTTGACTCGTTGGTCCATCTTCTTACAGTCTTGACCACAGGCTTAGTAGATTTAAGTTTCTGCATGCAGGTCGTGAAGATGAACCCCAAGGCTGCACTGGGAACAGAGGCATCCGTTTTAAAGAGTATTTGAAAAGTGTCCTGAGATAACTTCTGTTATGAATTGGCGCTATACAAATAAAACTGAATTGAATTGAATTGAATTTGCTATGCCTTAATAGGTTAGCTAGCTAGCTAGCTAGTTTGGTAGCTGTTTGACTGTGGCATCAAAACAGGAAGGAAGTGGTAAAATCCAGCCTCTTGCTTGATTTGATTGGCTGCCTGGGCCAAGTGTGACATTGGTGAGTGCTGTAGCTCTCTGTCTCTGTGTGATCGTCCCCAATGCAGTATTTCAGAGACTCCACAATCAGTTCCTTAAGGCTGTACTTAGGCACAGCCGTACTTTGAACTAAATGCTAACATCAGCAAGTTAACATGCTCGCAATCACATTGCTAATGTTGATGTTTTATCAGGTATAATGTATACCATGTTAACCATCCTACTTTAGCATGCTAACATTTGCTGTTATACAAAACACAAACACAAAGTACAGCTGAGGCTCATGGGAATGTCACGTTTTTCAGGCATATGGTTATAAACAAAATATTGGATAAATAATCGTTTTGACCTGAGGATAGCGCTAGAGAAAAGTCAGAGGATCACTAAAGTCATAAGGATTCATCATGCCAGCCGATCAAACACACAGTATGACCAGTGCTGTCTCATGAATTATCACTGTCCCCTGCATGTCACTTCATCTGTGCTAACACCTTCTTAACATGATACCGTCATATGTTCAGGTTGGCCGTCTTTCTTTGACATTGTGAAGGAGGAGTCCATCGCCCAGACTGATGATTTTTCCTATGGGATGCACAGAGTGGAGACTACCTGCAGCCAGGTACACTCAACACTGCATTACACCCACAGTATCTGTTGTTTACTCAATTATCAGTAGTAGTCATTAGTTTTTAAAAAAAAAAAAAATGAACAAGAACAAATATTTAAATAATTGTAAATAAGGCATGAGAATAAAATACCAGAACTTTTTTTTTTTTTTTTTTTACTTCTCCTGTGTATTTTATGGTGTGTTCCCACCAAAGGCAAATCATTTTTTTCAAGCAATTGATAAAACATCTGAATTATTAATATATTTAGTTGGGGCTGTCTGCTAGACAACAAGCAAACATATTTTAAAATGCTTGTTTTCTCAGTGGAGTTGAGATCAATCATGGATATGCTAATTTAGTTCATATAATAAATGGACTGTACTTGTATAGCACTTTCTAGTCTTCTGACCACCATTGTTGTTACTAGACTTAGACTTAGACTTAGACTTAGACTTCTCTTTATTGATCCTTTTGGGATGACTCCCACAAGGAAATTCAGTAAAAACTCATTAACTCACATTCATACATAGATGCACAGCATCGGGTGCAATATCTTGCTCAAGGACACTTTGAACATGCAGTGGGAAGTGCTAGGCATTGAACTGCTATTCTTCTGATGAGTGGACGACTCACTCTACCTCCTGAGAAACAGGTCTTCTCCAAAAAACACTACAAAAGCCCAGCAAGAAGCTCACTCTTGAAGTAGCGCAAATGCCATACATTTTTTGCATTGCCTTTGTCTTTTTGTTTTGTATTTTATTCACATTTGGTGGGATCAAACCATTAGAATTTTGTTTTAGAGCCACTAAACTTGGTAGAACTTGTTACTTAAATGCCAAAAGGCTGCATATCAATCTTTCCCATTGGGTTTCAGTGTGGAGCTCATCTGGGACACCTGTTTGATGATGGACCAAGGCCCACAGGAAAACGCTACTGCATTAACTCTGCCTCACTGGCTTTCCAGCCTAAAGACACCTTGTCCACCTCCAGCTCAATGGCTGAAGGTGGAACTGCCAGCAGCTCAGTGAGTGATGGGAAGATGGAGCACTGAAAGAAAGACTGTCTGCTGACTGTGTATGAAGTCTAATAGTACACATACATAAATTACTTAATATAGTTAGGTTCTGTATTGTTGATGCAAGATGTGAAGATAGAATAGATTGGATATTGCAAAAGGAAGGAATGCGTTCAGGCATCAGACACAGACCAGAGAAATACTTTCTGGTGTATAATCTTATCACTAGGAGTGCACGCTTCCAAAACAGCCATTTTGTAGTCACAAAACACACTATATCAGCTCATTGCCTTAAAGGGAACATAAGTATTTAATAACCTGTGCTCTATTCTCAGATATTTTTAAGCTGACTCTTGGTCATGATAACATTATTTGTAGAGATTTGGGGAAAAGGGAGCAGAAAGAGTTTGTCATAGTAACGACAGGGAGTTCTGGAAAAATGCTAGAAGTGCTTGAGATGATTTGGTTTAGACAGTGATTACAATTTTATGATGGACATGACCCTGGTAAAAAGAATACCATTCATGCTGACAAATACCATCATTCCCGTTATTTCCCTTTAATTTTCTAGATCTGGGCAATAGCATTTGGTCTGCTAATTTAAATATGGATAAGGTGCTGTGTAGTAGTAGAGACACACACATACACATATGTATGTATAATGTATATCTATATATAATGTAGAGCTTGGGATATTCTAACTAAAAAAAAAATTTTATTGGAATATATTTTTGAAGTGATCTTTGATACTGAGTGGTTGATTTAACGAAATTGCCTGTGCAAATGCTTCTGCTTCTGTCAGCAGTGATACAGGCAGTGACAAAGCATACAGTTCCTTATCTAGTTCTTTACTTTAGTAAATATTTTTGGTCACAGCTTGCATTAAAAAAGTTAATGGGTCAATAAATATAATAAAACAACAGATATCTCACTTTCTTGTTCCATTTTTTTGAAAACTGTAAATAGTTATATGCAACAAAATAATTTCATATGCATGGAACCAGTGTCATTGGTAGTTTTCAGTTGTGAAGGCAACAAATTACATTTACTCTCATTACTGTGCGAAGGTTGTGCTTCTGTGTACAAGTGGCCACTCCGACTACTCAAAGTGCTTTATACTACTATGTCACATACACCCCTTCACACACATTAATATGCTAAAGCTGCCTTTAAAGTTGCCAACTGCTCATCAGAAACTGAAACTAAGCACATTGGCACACACTCACACACCAATTCATAAGGAACCATCTACAGCACCTGAGGACCCCGCTAACTGCTTTCCTGGAGGTGATGTGTGCTACAGCCTCCTGCAGTTTTTTTTACCAGTCTGTAGTTACCAGCATACTGTTCTTTGTGGTGGTTTGCTGGGTGTGGCATCAAGGTGGCTGGTGAGACCAGCAGTCTCAACAAGCTGATAAGTAATTGGGTTGGGTTTGATTCCAACCCGCAGCCCTCTGCTCTCTATCCCAGCTGTCTATTGCTGCTGATCTCTTGCTCAGCAATGAAGGTGACCCACTTTTACGTTTTTGTGGAACAATGTTTGAGGATTATATCCAATTACCACCCACTGAGTGGAGAGCAGACTTCTCACAGTCGACTGGGTCAGTACCCAAACAGCAGAAACACTCACCAATAAATCCAGACTGACTTTACCAATATGCTGCTTAGATCTGGAGGGGGAACAGCATGCGTTGCCAAGACATCATGTCAATGTTGTCAAATTTTTGTTCTGTTAGTAGTGGTCAGAAAGAAGTTAAAGAGAACGCTGTAGTAACACAACAGTAATAGATAGTATTGAGCAATAATACACATTCAAGTATAAGTTAAGTTGTTCCTTCCAGATGATGTTACCAAATCCAGTGAAATGTAATAAAAGTCAGTGTATTTGTTGTTGAGTGTGTTCAGGCCATTGCTGAAATGCTGAGAGCCCATAAAGAAGATGGTGTGAAGGAGCTGCACAGTGGATCAAATCTGAAACATCTACTGAATAGACTACCACATTCCCAGCAGCAGAGATTCGGGAGACACCAGATTAGGAAGAACCCCAACCAAGTTAAAACATCTCTGCTAGAATTTGCAGAGTGGCTGCAGCTGGAGACAGTTTCCAATTTGACTCCACAGACCAAGTTTTCCATGTGAAGGGGGAACAGAAACCCCCGACCTACACATCTACAAGCCACTGTTATGCATGGAGCAGAGCACACTACAAGCCAGACCATTCTAGCAGTTTGGCCACCAGGTTAATTAGCAAAGGTTATTAGCAAAAGAAAGGTTCACTGCCCCCACTGCAATAGCACTGTACACTATTTGAGCCAGTGCACTGACTTTGTTGCACTTACAAGAGACCAGGCTGTCAGTTGGATTAAGGAGAATAAAAGATGTTAGAAATGTGCCCAAGCTCATCTAGCAAAGGACTGACTTGAAGAGGCCCTGCCACACATGTAAGGGAAAGCTCTTGTCTTGTGAGTAAATGAGAAAATCAGCAGAGCCCAGAGACACACCTTCAGAGAGCTCCACAGTCTACCACTCTGACTCTGAGATACTGTACTGGAACTAAACGAACCACCACACAGAGTGCCCAGGGCTGCTATCTCTAACTTACCTTCAGTGAAACACAGCAAACGAAAGGTGAGCAAAACATCAGTAGTCAGGTGAACCTATAAATAAAAAAAACCCTAACCCTAACCCTAATTAAAAAGGCTCACCAGGTTACATACAATATATTCCTCAGGGGCAGAGAAGCAGTATGCCGCTATCAACATCACTGGCCCCTGTCAGAAATGGAGAGCCAAACCAAAGGTTCCAAAGATGGCCATCTTCGACCGGCACAGCTCCGTCTCTTGAAACCAACCTTTTTGCTCTACAGGAGTAGATTGTTTCTGCCCTTTTTTAGTCAGTTTAGAAGATGCAATGATAAGAGATGGGGTGTGATCTTTAAGTGTCTAATGACATGTACATCTTGACCTCCTACTTTACCAAGTGTTTTCCTCTCCTTTGGATTACCTGTGTGTGTGAATGAAACCAAGTAAGTTTATATTTTCTATTTGTGTTAATGTGTAGGATTATATGCCCACATTTTATTGAAGCTAAACTGAGCTTGTTATGTTTCTAATACTAGAAATTCAGGTGTTACATTTCACCAGTTCATACAAATTTCAAAAGACTCTTTGATTTGAGGCCTGTAGTTCCAGCTTTGACTTGTTGGTCCATCTTTTCACGGTCTTGACCACAGGCTTAGCAGATTTAAGTTTCTGCCTGTATGTTGGATAAGATGAACCAGACAGTGATCAGAGAGTCCCAAGGCTGCATGGGGAACAGAGCGATTGGCATCCTTTATTGTTGTGTAGCAGTGGTCCAGAATGTTAATGTCCCTGGTGGGACACTTAATATGCTGTCTGTATTTTGATAATTCATGACTGAGGTTTGCTCTGTTACAGTCCCTGAGAACAATGAGCAGGGAGTATGGATGTTTTTTCTCCAAGTATGTTATCTGGTCAGCCACGTGTAGTAACGCCTCACTAACACTGGCCTGAGGTTGGACGTAAACACCAACCAGAATAAACAAGGAAATAAAGGGTTTGAGGTTTATGAATAAGTGAGGGCTGTATGATTTGCAGAGAGCAGAAAATAGAACAAATCAAACAAAAACACAAAAAGTACTAGAGAGCGCAGTACCGGTGGCGACTCTCCGTGGTGCCAACTCTCCGTGGTGCCAACTTGATGTTTATCAGCTCATTGCTGTATGCATTGTGATTGGCTTCTCATTAAATGCATCCTGATTGGCTGATTATCAAAGGCACACTGATTGGCTAACTCTTAAATACATCTGGAATGGCTTATTGTTTAATACATCCTGTTTGGCTAACTCTCAAATACATCTGGAATGGCTTATTGTTTAATGCATCCTGATTGGCTGAATTTTAATGCACACTGATTGCCTGCTTGTTAAATGCATCCTGATTGGCATTATGTTTAAATGCATCCTGACTGGCTTAATTTTAACTGCATCCAGTTTGCCTGAATGTCAAATGTATCCTGATTGACTCAATGTTAAATGCTTTCTTATTGGCTTATTGTTAAATGCTGAATGTTTAATGCAATCTGATTCGCTGAATGTTAAATGTATCCTGATTGGCTCAATTTCTGGGCGGTCAAATTTACCTCTTTCTCCCATTGCATGGCACTACATTTAAAACAAATTTTGATGTCTAGTGGTCTGTTTCTGCGCAAGGGAGTTTTGATCAGGTAATTACAAACATCTTGCCAATCCATGGTATAGGTGTACAAAAAATGTCACAAAATATCCACTTCTGCTGCCATTCTTTCAAGTGAGGAAGAATTTCTCATGAGCATGGAAGTTTCTCGTGCTCACTATAGAGGTTTCCTGTGCAACCAAGAACCTAATATTCATAGATAGGTTTTTATCCACAGATGATGTGGGTTGCCTTCCATGGAGTCTGCCATGTTGAACCATAATGCTATATTCTCATATGTGCGCTGCCCAAGGACTACCGATGTCACAAATGTAAAACCCAAATGCAGACTTTGAGGCTGAACTGATGCTGATGGTTTAATAACATAAGAATTAAATACAAAAAAGGCTTATGGAATAGTCAGGCAGGAACAGATCAAAACCAAGTAAAACTAATCAGGGTAGGGCAAACAATCAACACTGGCAAGAAAACAGACAAAGGCAGGAAGTGAAGTAACACAAGACAGATAAGAAAGTACTATTTCAACATAAAACAGGAAAAAAATAACCATAACAGTAGTTGGAAATTAATAAATATGACATGTTTACATCATATTGACGTTAATTAAGCCTTGGCCTTAGATGTGTGTTTTGGATCATTGTCATGTTTTTGCTACAGTATTCTGACTGATAAGCTAAGCTTTGATGATCTTCTTGTAGCCCTCACCTTTCTTGTGTAAAGAAATTATTTTCTTTCTCAGGTATTGTGACATTTCTCTTCCATTGTATGCCATTGAAATGGGAAGGGGTTTTTGCCCTTTTATAGTCAGCTGTCTGCTGGACAGTATTTTGTAGTATAGTATCCCATAGAAAATGTTGATTCTGACAAAATCTGTTGGGGTATACTCATTTATGCTGAGCATTATATATATATATATATATATATATATATATATATATACACACACACACAGTAATATTAGTATTAGCAGTGGGAGTCAAGCAGGACCACAGCAGCAGGCACCACCAGGATCCGTGAGAACCTGCGAGACGAGGTAGTACAAAATCTCCTGGGGAAGAAGTGAAGTTAGTAACAGGAATGTGTGCAGAAAGAGAGGAAGAGAGAGGGAGTCCCCCAACAGTCTAGACCTATAAGACCTTTATGAAACCTGCCTTCACCTCTTCCATTCTTAAAGAGTATCAGAGTCAGCAGAGGATGGAGGAGAGGGGTGCTTACCCTGCTTATTATTTTCCATTGCAACAACAGCTGAATAGCTATCTGATGCACCTAGGTCATGAGTACTGAAGGATTTCATGTAACATAGCAAAACCGTTTTACTTCTGAATCTGAGGTGAAGGGAAGTTACTCTGGGGAGGTGAAGAGTAGCCTATAGTCTAATTTACAGCAAGCACAACTCACCTGGTCTGTTTACAGTAGAGTTCCTGGAATATCAAATCTCAAAGACTATTAATAGACCAGAGTATCCTGGAGTTTAAAAGTCCACTACACTAACCCTTTGTTTGTGTTCTAATTGTCCTCTAAGGAAAAATACATCAGGCCCAGATCATAATTTGTCTGAATAAACACTGTCCATGTCACCTCTGACATACATACTCCCAAAGACACACATACACATATACAGCCTCACATGTGGATATCTTATTTTATCTCCCAGCATATATATTTGTTCAGAGTTGGGATGAGCACACCGTGAGCATGAGAAACTGTGTCTGTCTGCTATATTTAAGTAGTTTAAGCACACCATAGTGGTGCAATGCCCTGAAAATCTGTTGGAAAATAATCTCATAGTAGATTGAAACAGAACAGTCTGAAGTGTTTGGCAGAGGTCCTTGCACTGTGTTACATAAATACATCACATATCTGCTGCTGCTTTGATGGTGCCTGGGAGGAACATATCTGGAGGGGAAACAGTTCAAACTGACTTTGGTCAAAACCATGCTATAAGTTCTCAAAGGGATATCCTGAAATAGTTGGCAAACAGGTGGAAATTGTGCATTTGGTGTGGGCACATTAATACACATTTGATGCTCTGCATATTTTGGGCAGCAGGACGGTGTATGCGATCAAAAATAAACTAGTGTGTGTGTTCATGGTAATGAATGAACATGTCAGCCAATGCAATCGTGTGACTTAGAGATGTGTTTAATAGTTATTACATTACTGTTAATAGTTTTAACAGTTTTGACAACAAACAGGCTTTGGAAACATAATTCCTGTTTATAGGATCAATTCATTGTTAATTTAAGTCTTTTCGTGTGATTTGTTGATAATATATTCCCTCTGCCTGCATCTGTTCTAATCATTAACTCCTTTTTGGGACATGCTTTTGCTCTTAAATATAAATGTTTGTGTGTATTTTAATCAGATTGGTTATGTACCTCTTAAACTCTGCTGTACCTATTGGTGGCTTCATCTAATTCATGTCGTGCTGTCAAGCATCAGATAAATATGTATTTTCACTGGTCTTGATCTAACATTTGCAACAGTACCAAATATGTCCATCTGAATGTGTATAAAATGACACAACACATGTATATTATGAATTGCTGCAGGTATAAAAATTGTGTCTTTGAAATTGAACATTTTATACATTGTCATTTTTAATAGTATAATAGTAATAATAGTTTGAACTTGGAACAAAGTGATACAGTAAAAAACTAAAATCTAACTAAACAAAAATCTAAATTTAGTTTTACAATTTATATAAATATGATACAAATATGTCTACTTTGAACATTTATACTGTACAAAAAAACTTATTGGAGATGACGCTGCTGGATATTTCAGTCTAAATGATTTAGCTGTTGGCTGACAAGCAGTTTGGCCAAGAGGCTCTTCTTGTCTCCTTCAGTTTTTTTGTATCTCCCCCTACTACTTTACACTCTTTGTAGAGGGAAGAATTGTTACTGTAAATAATGTGTATGTATGTATGCATGCATGTATGTAATATAATAAATGGAATGTATTTGTATAGCGCCTTTCTAGTCTTCTGACCACTCAAAGCACTTTTAGACTACAGCCACATTCCCCCTTTCACACACATTCACACACTGATGACACAGCATCGGGAGCAATTTGGGGTTCAGTATCTTGCTCAAGGCTCAATACTTCGACATGCAGCAGTGAGGAGCCGAGGATCGAACCTTCCGATTAGTGGACGACTTGCTCTACCTCTGAGCCACGGCCACCCCGATATGTCTGTAACAATATATAGTGTTTTACAGTTTATTGCAGTGTACAGACTCGAGTTATGGTAAAGATTTGCAAGATTTTATTGTAATCTTTTAATCCAATTTAGTACTTATAGCTAGTGGTTGAATAGTTAATAAATGGAAGGAAGTTTAAGGAGGTACACAGAGATTTTAACTGTTTACAGTGGTTGTTAACAAATGTATGCTTCGGTCATGAAGCATCTGGTGCATAAACAATCAATATCTATCTCATTGACAATCTAATGTAACCCAGTAGTAATCACGTAAAATATGAATATGAACTATTTATTTTCTTAATTACTTACATGTATTGATAAAGTATGTATTTATTTATATATACTACTTCTAGTTTTTCAGTCTCCTGACAACAAACACCACTCGAAAGTTCAAGGAGCTTAGTAAGTGGATCTAAGTTAAAAAATTTCAATCAAAAGGACACTCTACAATTTTCATAGTTAAGAATGAACCATTGAGGTCAACATGATTTGGGAATGTGTATAAACAGTTAAAACATATTTCATGGTCCAAGATCACAGAAAAAAAACAAAAAAAACAAAAAAAAGAGTTACTCTCATCTCAGTCCCTGAAAAAGTGAATGCCAACAATGATAATTAAGACATCACTACTTGTAGAAGCGAAGCTTGATAAGATTTCTCACAATAATAATTACAAGAATATTGGCAACAACTGCAGTAACAACAACCATAAAAGCGTTACTAATTACTAATTCTGATGTATTTATTTGGTCTGGATGAGAACTTCAGCCAAAGAAGGTGAAAGGTCACTGGCTTAAGCAGTATAATGGAAGTCCTCTTTGGCTGTTCACTCTGCCACACATACACAAAGCTTTCCATTTCAGTGCAATAACACATTTATTTCCTTTTTTCATTGTGCCTCAACTGGCTCAAACAAAGCTGCGTGCCCAGCACTAACGTGTGCATACAACCACCCTTGGGTAATGGATCTGTGCAGCCATTGATTGTATTGGTTGGATGTTGACGCCGCTCTGTCTGAAGGGGAGGAGTCTGCACAGAAACCCCTTCTTTGGGGGTCTAAGGGCTGTTTTTTATGAATGAAGTGAATGCCAGCTATGAATTAAGCTCACACTTTTGTCAATAAGTCCTCTGTTGAGGAAGTTTTGCACTTATGAAAATTTATGTTTTGTACAACAATGTGCATTTTGATGATATTGCTGTTAAATTTTTAGAAAGCTCAGAATGTGGCTGTATTCACTGTACATTAATCTACTTTTGCAGGGCTACAGGACCGTGGGAAAGGTCCTCCACGTAAGATGCTTTATTCTTTGTGTCTGTTGTTCTTATGTAATTGATCTCACTCAATGTCCAGGGTGGAATGCTTCAAAGCCTTTGCTGCACCATTCCATCAAGTGAAAATGTTCTACATGCCCCCTGCATCAGTTAAATTCAAATCTTTGAAAACTTTGGGATCTCTCCTAGAATTAAAAAATAAAGTTATGTGGGATTGAACAATGCCAGATGAATGCAGTTTTCTATCTTGAGAATAAGTCCCCATGTAGCCGTATGTACTGTACTGATGGAATAAGGGAAGGGGCATGCATAACTACATACATAACTTTTGTTAAGGTTACAGAAATATTAATGGACTGGAACCTGAGGGAATGTTACAGGGATGTATGTTACATGTTTGCTGGGTATGTGCCGGAGCCTTCCTTCATGGACATGTCAGAAACAATTCATCGTTCAGGTTTAACTTTGTTATGCTCATTGTTATTGTTAATGTAAACAGAGAGACACCACTCACAGATTAACTGCATTCATGTGTACTCTGAATGATAGCAAGGTTTGTGGACAAGGTTTCAAACAAAAAACAAAAGGACAAAAAAATGAAATGTTTGGCTTCACATTTAAATATTTGGGCTACTTTTAACCTGGAGAGTTTGAGAACATTTCACATTTTAAAATGCTAATTTTCACATATGCAAAATGATACATTTCAAAATCACTGTTCTTTGTCCACATAATTTTTTTCCATGAGGGAGCCATTGTTTTCAAATGTTACAATCCAAGTTATTTGTTGTTTAGATGGCAGAGTTAATGCATAAATAACTTTTATTTAAATGTTCAAGTCAAAAGGTTGGAAAATTACAAAAAATATCTCCTTGATTAGTAGCCTAACAGTAGGGTTATTATGGCAGCAGCTTGTTTTCATTCTTATTTCAGTGTTGAGGCGATAGCCTATTTCCCTGACTTTAACCAAGCACTTCGTATTTCAGAGGTGAACACTGAATGGCTGTTCCGTATCCAACAGCAGCAGAGTCCACTGAAACGTGTGAAAATGTGAATTTAATTCATAAATGCGGCCTACCGCTTCTGGCCCGCAGCCAAGATTCCGTCTCTAACTCTGTTTTCTCTGGCTCCCATCCAGCTCCCCCCACCCTCCCGCCGTTGTTATCCACCCACGGGAGAGGTGATTTCTTTCTTTTTGTTCTTCTTTTTTAAACCTATATTCATTCAGTGGTTCCTCGATTTGGAGTGGGCTGTAGATGCGGGATTATGACCACGCTTTTCAGACAAACCGTGCCGAGCTGTCACGCATCGCTGCTGTATGGTCCTTCCCGGTGCCGCCGTGTGTTGTAGCCGAGTTTGAGTTGGAGCTGATCGGCGTCAGACTCCGCTGTCCCCTGTGTTCTCTTCTTAAGCTCAATGAGTCAAACTTCCAGCTGCTCCCTGGCTTGTCTTATCAGCTTCAAAGCGGCCAGTGCTGCTGCTTGTGGAAGACTTTCAAGTGGACAACAGACCTGTTAAAGTGCCATTGAAACTATCCTCATCGACTCCCTCTGTTCATTTTTTTTCTTAAGTCCTTTCTGTTTACCGGTAGAACGGAAGCACTTTAGCACCGGGAACCATGAGCGGACGCGGGGACGAGGCCGAGGAATGCTCTGGCTCCCAGGAGCCCATGGGGGCCGCGGAACCCCAGAAAAGAAGGCCAGGGAGACCGAGGAAGCCCCTAAAAGTAAGTATTGAGTGTGTGTGTATTCGTACCCCCTGTGAACAAGCAGATGTCCTATCGGTGGTATTAAAAATGAAATAGCCTACAGATTATATCTGCACATTGTGTGACCAATATGTGGTGCTTTTTATTGAAAATCGCAAATGGAGCATATTTATTCTTAAAATTATAATTCAGCAGGGTGTGCAACCCACCTTAACTTCTTCCCTGATACACCCTGTGGATCGTGTTAAGTTGCCTACAATTAGGCTATCTTTAATGGAACGCAATTTACAAATGCTTTTTTGAAATAGACCTACTTTAATGCTGAATATAGGCTACATATGATGATTAATGCGTATGTTTCCAGTATTGGCTCTGGCCATGATTTTTAATTAACAATTTGAGTGAAAAGAAAAGTACTGTATAGGGAAGAATCTGCTGATCGTCTGTCGGTTGAATCATGACAACAAGGGCTTGAACGCGTTTGTATTTATAGATGTGATTCATTGGTGAGTCATACCACAGCTGTATTTTACGTAGAGTTAGCTTATCATATATTTCACAATGAGCTACATCATACCATCATGAAGTGGCACTAATACACAGCATTTAAGTTATTAGGTTAATAGAAATATTGATGACAAAATGTACGATGGTCAGTATGAAATATGAAAGTGCAGAATCAGAATGAATAAAAAATCCCTCTCTTTCATTCCTTCTATGGTGTGTACACATGCACACATCATTGCCACATGCATACACAGGCATACACACACACACAAACACACAACCTTTGTCCCTCTTTTGGACACATAAAGCAGTGACTAAATAGCATAACATGTTTCCCCTTCCTTTCAGGAGCCCAGTGGAGAGCCTGTTCCCAAGCGACCTAGGGGTCGCCCCAAAGGAAGTAAGAACAAGGGGCCCTCAAAGGCAGCTCAGAAGGTGAGGAGCCACAGCACCTTTGTAATGTCACTTTTGCGGACATTCAATGATTTATATTCCATAACCCATACATGGCTTAAGCAGTGGACGTGTGTGCGCTCAATAGCTGGGATTCCATCAGCATATTTTTATGTGGATTTTAAAGTGTTGCATTAGGACAAATTGGATGGAAAAACTATTTAAATAAACATCCTTAATTTCTGAAAATATTGGGCAGTTTTTGCCTTTTTTGAAAAAGAGTTAGTGCACTTAATGGGAGATGGATACACTTTTTCAAAAAAAGTTTTTACTAGCAACCATTTAACTCACATGACTGATGTGAGTTAAATGGTTGTTTCTGCTCTCCTCATCGCTCCAATAATACATCTATGATCGTTTGGTGTACCATAAGCAAGAACATATTTTATAATCCAGGTCATTCAGATTTCCGTGCACACCCAGAGCTCGTTCTCCTCAGTCCTTGTTACTATGTTTCTTTAGCCACAATTTCATCCAAATATGACTTTTTTCTTTGTTCCTTTTTTGTGCTTTTTTATTTTTGTTATCTCATACACAGTCTTTAATGATTCTTGCAGGATTTGTGTGGTTACTTAATAATCACTCTAATCATAATCTACACTTGTGTTCTCTCTGTTAATAGGTTTACATTTGAAAGATGTAATTTCAGCATTTGTATGTCAGTTAAATGAAAGCCTCAGAATAACTTTTGATACCTTTACCTCTGGTTTGTACATGTTTAAGCTGCTCTAACCAAAACATTTTAGCTTAACCTTTGACTCAATCTGCAGCTTCAACACTGACCAGCTACAGCACCTCGAAGGGTCAAAACTCAATGGGTTCCTATGGGTTTAAAAATACAGTCACCACTAGGTGGACACATTGCATGCCATTGTGAGCAGCACATATACTGTATATTTTCTACTTAATTAATGCATCTAATAGCAGTAGTTTGATGAGCAGGGACAGCTAAATGTAGCAGTTAACTTAAAAACAGAATACATATTTACTCATTCTGTTATACATTTTATTTGCCACATTTATATGCAGTCATGTTCAGGGTTTTGATAAGACGATCGTGGTATATGATGGTGGATTACGTAAATACTAGAGACACCTTTCAGTGCAATGCAGTTCAACACAGCACTGACCATGGCTTCAAACATATTGTAGCACTTTTGTATCGAATTGAATTGGATTCTTTAGTTGGTCATAATAAATTGGTGGCTCAGAGTAATTCTAATATGAGTGACAGCATAGAACATGACCATATGGAGTCTATTTCAGCACTTTTGACCAAAATATTGAAAATGTGCAAAATGTTCAAAACAAATGGTAAAGGTTTTTCCTAAATGTTTGAAGATGTAACAGGTATGCACAATTAAAATAAAGGGAACAGTGAAATCTGTCAAGAAAAAATACTGTAGTTGATACCCTGACTAGGTCTGGGTACTGAATCTCAATATTTTTGATACTCACTGAAATGTGTCTGCAGTGTTGAAAACTGTCAAGTATTGAAATATGGCAAAATATGCCATGGGAACTTGTTCCAGACAGTTTTTGATTTAAATCAAAATTATTTGGGCAAAAATGTAATGCTGCTTGTGTTTAAACAGTATTTAGACACCACTATTAAACAATTATATAATACTAAGCCCTACATTACCTAGACTGCTAATGTTGGGTCACTGAATGAATATGTATATACCGCTGGAATGTCTTTGTTGATGTACACAGAGAAGGGTGTTTATAGGTAAGAAAAACTGACCCAGAGAAAAGCATTGGAATTTATGGGTTGTGATACTATACATCTAAGCGAGGCCAGGGCAATCACTGTTTCTTCATTCATTAGTTAGATGAAGCTGTGTTAGCCTCATGGTGATAGCAGCCTTAGTGCTCCCTTGCCACCATGAACCACTGTAAACGTTCCTAGCACATTGAAAAGTGAACCATTCTGCTTTCGCCAGCCTCATCTCATCTGTGATTGTTATGATGAACACTGAAAATATATATCTTTCCAGATGAAAGGAGTCCTGGGTTGGCCTACACCTTTAACATATACTCTTAAAAAGTTCACTTCCCCTCTCAATATTAATTACCTCTGCAATGTCTGACATATATCATGGCATCTTGTTAGAAGAAAAAAAATGTACTGTACACTTTGACTGGACTTACTTATTAACTTACTACAAAATACAGACTACTTTCTGAAAAAATATTGCATTACGTATAGAAAATGTCATGTTTAGATTGAATACATGCAAATTAGATTTCAGCAATCTGAAACTGTCCTTACCAGAAAATCACTTAAAGCAACAGTAAGTTACTTTCTACCTTGAAAAAAAACTACTAATTTCCCTCACAGTCATTCCCTGTGCCCCATATGCCTGTTCTTGCACTGTGTAACTTAGGTCACTGGGTTGCAACAAGTGCAAAATACTTTATGGCACTAGGTCACAAACTATAAACTATGTCACTGATTTTGGTGATACTGGATCATATTTTATGGAACAAATGTTTTCTTGTTTTCCCTCTGATATCCTGCTGCTGTTCTGCCTCAACTCTCAGTGAATTACAGAGTTTCCTGGTGAACAGTAAAGTAAACTGCTAACTACAGGCTGCTCCTTAGGTAAAGAGAAAAAGAGAGTGACGAAGCAAGAGGCCACCGGATATGAGTAAATCTCAGACTGGTTTTTACTCATTTGCCAGAGCTTTGTGAAGTAATCCGATCTGTTCTGAATGGCCACACACACAGAAAAAAGCCTGTGGTGTTGTGTAGTGTCAGTGTGATGAATTGTACAAATGGGAATAATGGTTTTCACTCTCACATAGTCTCTTTTTGCAGGTTTTCACGGTGTTGCACTGGGTTGTTCTCACGAAAAGGGATAAAAGTAGTGTGTCAAACCCTGCCTACTTTCACACCTGCACACACCTGGCCAGTCACTGTGTTAAATTGACCTGATTTAGATTGTTTTCAATAGTTAAATATATTGTTAGACAACTGTCATAGCTAACTACTGTTAGTCAAGACAAAGATGGTTGCCCATGTACAACACGAGGCTAGGCATGTCCCCAGATTCTGTGAATTAGTAGTTATCTGTCTCAAGTCTCTTCAGTCATAATAGTGTGAGGTTTCTGGTCTCCCACACAGACACTGATTCTTATATTACCTCCGTTCTGAACTATATCAACACCAAACAGAACCACAAGTTAAGGACTGAGGCAAGGCATCTAGGCCACCTACCCACACTGCCCCAACTAGCAACGCCTCCTTCTCTGATGAGCTTAACAACTTTTATGTCTTACAACTGGGAGTCCCGCAGACCACCAGCCCTTCACATTCTCTGTCCCCAACATATGTTCTGCACTGAGCAGGATTAATGCACATAAGGCTGTTGTATCTGAGGGCATACACTGCAGCCTGCTCAGGACCTGTCCTGTGTAGCTCACTAAGGTAACATCCATCATGCCAAAACACTCCACCAACCTAAACGACATGTTGCAGTCACTTCCATCGCCATGATGTGCTCTGAAAGGCTATTCCTGGCTCAACTTGAAACCCCTTCAATTTGCCTTCCACCAGAACAGATGTATAGAGGATGCCATGTCTATGGTGCTACACTTTTCCTCCCACCTGGACAATAGCAGCACCTATTTTAGAATACTGTTCATTGACTTTGCTTCAGCCTTCAACAACATCATCCCCTCCAATCTCCAAACCTGACCTTGGCAGTGACACTTCCATTTGCAAATGGACACTGGACTAACCAACAGACCCCAATATGTTAGACAACCACACTCTATTTCCTCTTCACCTGTGACTGCACACCTGTGACATGGTCCCAATGCCATTATCAAGTTCGCACACATCAACAATGAGTTGGCCTACAGGGAGGAGGTCCAGCACCTCATCCTGGTCCTCAAAATCAACAAGACCAAAGAGCTCATCATGGAAATATCAGTGCTCTGTCTCAGAGGGTGATGAAAACTGTGATGAAAACACATCACTGGTACTCCACTCCCGCCATTGAGGCTGTCCAGCAAAAGTCCAGCCACCATGACCACAATTTTTCTCTTAACAAAGTAGTACAAAAAGTATCTTTCTAAGTCCAAACCACAATCCTTTCTTTACCCCAAAGTAATTTTTGCGATAAACTTAACTCACGATTCAATGCAATTCATAATATTGGGTTTACAATATGATTTTCACACAATTTTTTAAACAAAATTCCTTTATTACTTCCTTTTATCAGACAAAAAATATATTTTCTAATTTAGGGTGCAAAGCAATCCATATTTACTTCTCATTCTAATACTGGGATGTAGCACATCGAACAAGCAAAGTCAAAAGTAGATAGCGCCCCCTGCTGTTTAAAAAGAATATCATGATAAATTTTTTATCTCAGTGATTTGAATACATTTACATTCCTAGCCAAAATCGAACCAAATCTTAACCCCAGCAGTAGTATATCAAAAAATGGTCGCATTAATATTTTTGTTTCGCTGATTTGTAATGGTTCTGGAAGGCAATTATGCTGAAAGGGCCATCAGATCCATTGGTATTCGGGGCTGCTCCAGACATGTCAGACATCTTTCTGCCCAGACATATAAAACACACTCATGATTAATTAAACAAGGTTTTGTCTTTCAGTCTATTAAATCTCCACATTAAAAATGCAGCATCCCAAACAGAGTACTGGGATTACAGTACATGGATTGGCTAGCCAGTAATGTGATGTGTCATGATAGACCTGCTAATGAACAGCACATTACAATAAATCATCATTGTGTTGTATCTTTATACACTTCTGATTCTCTTTAATACAAGCTGGTGTTATGAGAGGCAACTGTATGTTGTGAGAGCATGTATGTGCACCTTGGAAAACCCATACACACATATATGTCACTGATACTAAATAACTACTCAAAGTACGCTATACAATCTCTCCTGAGATGATCGATCAACACCTGGCAAGACAGCAACTATGCTGATCTCCTATAAT